CCCGTAGCTTGATCTTGAACACAGATACCTAGATCTTGTACACAAGTAGCTTGATCTTGAACACAAGTTGCTTAATCTTGAACATAGGTAGCTAGATCTTGAACACAGTAGCTTAATCTTGAATATAGGTAGCGAGATCTTGAGCACAGGAAGCTTGATCTTGAACATAGGTAGTTTGATCTTAAACAAAGGAAGCTTAATTTTGAACATAATTAGCTAGATCTTGAGCACAGGTAGCTTAAAGTGAGTGACCGGCAATGTATGGTAGTTAAACTGAGGTCCTGTAGTATCGTGGAGGAACTTTTTAGGAATCATTTGAGACCCAAGAGACGTTTTTGCGGTGCATATTTGTTCAATCTTTAAAATCTTCATAGATTGTCCAGTTTTGAAGGATGATTTTGAGAATCGGTTTTTAAAAACTAATCAATAACGACGACGGAAACATAGTAATAGTTCTACAGTAAACTGACTAGTTGTTTAGGAACAGGTTGAGAAAATAAAAATTAACTATTATCATCGAAAGTAAGTAATCTTATTCAGTTATTGGTTTCTGCAATTTCTCATTATTCACAAACATTTTCTGTAAATTTCCTGGAATTTTTATTGAAAAGATGATATTTGAAGAAATCTGCGAAAAAAAATCACGAATAACAAGCAAGTAACAATATAAGGATGAAAAAGAAATAATTGATTCTAACATTGATTTATTGAGAAAATTTCAATTAGAAATACGTTCCTAATCAACTAATTAATTTACTGAAGAATTTTTGTAACATTTTTTGTCGTCGTTATTTAATAATTTTAAAATGATCGATTCTCAAAACATATCCAACCAAATGAATGATTTTGAACGTCGACTTTGTGCTCAAACTCAGTAGTTATACATCATTAAAACGTTTAATATGTCTCAAATGAATCCTAAAAAAATTCGCCACAATACTACATTCTCAGTTCAACTACCATACATTGCCGGTCACTCCCTTTAAGTCATAATGTTATCTTAAACTGTTTCTGCCTTTATTGTTTCCATCTATATTTATAACCTTAAAATCATATTTCTATTTTTACTCAGGAGTTCCCCCTTGAATCTGACTGCTGTGGGAAGCCTAGATCGGAAACCAAACACGGGGTTTAACTTTGCATTCAAGAGCACTCCAACATCCAACACCATGATATCTTCATCAAATCTAGCAGCACCTTTAAATCCAACATCCTTCTCTAGTTTATCAAACACAGCTAGTGAAGTAGGACAAGCCTCATTAATGATAGTATCATCTATGTCTAAATTAGGAAAAGTAGGATTTAGTGGCACTCAGGGTAAACAAGATCAAACATTAACTTTAAACCCTGTTAACAATAATCCGTCAGGAGCCCAGATGTTTCCTAAGCTTGCCAGTATTGGACAGCCAGGAGAAATGATCATGAATATAATTCCTGTTAATTCTGTGCCACAGCAAAAAATTGTTAAATTCTCCTCGAATGAGGCAATTTCTTCTCAAGTTTATAATTATAGTAATCAAGCATTTGATTACAGAATTACTAACAAACTTTCTTCATTCTATAATCAGCCTGGCAATCAATCAGACAACCAACTAGTTAATCAATCCAACAAGCCTGGAGAGCTAACAAACAACAAACCTGTTGATCAAACAAACACCTTGCAGCGAGCACAGAAAACCATTGGGAAACCAACTTGTAACACTACCTCCAAGCAAGCTGCATTAAACAAACATATAGATCATAACTCAGCAGGAAATCAATCAAGATATCAAACAGAAAATGTTTGTGTAGGAGAACCCCGAATACTTGGATCTTTAAAGCAGGGCTTGAATATGGTTGATGAGGGGGTAGGATCTCAACTCAACAGAGATGATTACTTTGGTTACTTTGACCCGTTTGAGCTTGAGCTGGAACAAGAAGTTGCTTCTGGTGTCGAGCCTGAACCTATGGAAAAACATCTATTGTCCAGAAATGGACCATGCATCAACTCACAAAAGGAATCTTCATCTGAACTTTGGTGCCTTGAATGTAGAATAAAATTTACCGAGGAAAGTCAAGTGATTTCTCATGCTAGAACAGTTCATGGAGACAAAACCAGGAAATCTGGTCAATTGCCAGATTTATGCAGAAAGAGAAAGGCTCTAAAGGCAGAAAATCCGGGAACACGAGCATTGTCAAGCACTGTCCAGGCGGAACTCAACAAGCAGCCATATCCTTTTCAATGCATCACTTGTAATGATAAATTTCAATTCAAGTCAGATCTTCTCGTTCATCTTGATGAACATAATCAAATAAAACCATTCAAGTGCTCAGTCTGCAACCTTGGGTTTACATTCCAGTCTGCCAGGAAACGTCACGAAAGATCTCATACAGACGGGGGTGGTAAAACAAATTCCTGTGAAGAATGCCGGAAGTCATTTTCAAGGAAAGCTGATTTGCGGAATCACATGAAAACGCATGTGGGCGCTAGAATCTCGTGCCAGCATTGTGCGCAAATGTTTAACAATGAAAAGAGCGCGGCAAAGCATGCTTGTAGCGCGCAGAATCCCGAGAAAAAATATCCCTGTCCGCTGTGCGACGCAGCACTTAAAACTAAAGTTGAGTGGGGTGCACATGTGTGGAAGCACACTAAAGATGCGCGTTATGTGGTGTGCACAGAGGAAGAAGATTTGCCTGTATTTGAACCTAACCAAACCCAGACAGAGTTGCAGCCAAAGTATCTCCAAATCTGTAGTTAGAGAGACGGTTGTTGTAATTTCAAGTAATTTTCCTTTTAATCGAAGGACAAACCCTTTATCTGATCAGTGATCATTAATAACAAAGATTTTTTTCTGTGTTTAAAGTTTAGTAATCTTTTCTCCTTTCCTTTAGGAGAAGTGCGCAAATTACTTTTGGAAAGAAACCACAATTGAAAATAACCAGTTTTTAAAATTATTGATATCTAACTCATACTTAATCATACAAAGCTGTTAAGGGTACCCATGTGAATTGAGCATTGTCATCTTTGCATGGAGGGTGACTTGAAATTATGCGTAAAAATTTTCTAATTAAATTTACACTTTGAAACTAGAATTTGTTTGAGTTACATATATGTAATTGTGGATAACAAGGGCGTATACAGAAATAAATCTAAGGGGGGGGGGAATTTAAACTGTAATTTCGAAACACTTGGCTTCTTGGCTACTTTAAAGATACACATTCAGTCCAAATACTTTGCATGTACTATACTTTAAAAAATCATTGTTTTTAAAAAAATCGACATTTTTCTATACTGTTAATTATCTTTGTAATAATTAAGATTTAAACTAGAGATAGTATAAGACATTTTTCTATACTGTTATCTTTGTAATAATTAAGATTTAAACTAGAGATAGTATAAGACATCTTTGAAAATGAAAAACTAATAACTAAAAATAATTATGACTTGCAAATGTTTCTGCTGTGAAATAAAACAATGAGAACAATTGTAATAGATATAATAAAGCGCTTCGTTCATTTATATGTTTGCTATGGCTGCCCAAACGGTTGAATCAAATGGGCTGAATTTTAGTGAGGAAACTCATGGATACCCTTGGGGATGACATAAGCTAAATAAATTATAAGTTTTTTGTTTTAATTCGACTTTTAAAATTCCACGGGCAACGCCTGCCACTTCAGCTAGTTTGAAATAAAAAGAAAGATTACAAAACGGCGGTGCAATGAATAAAGTAAATTAAATCTAAATTAAAAAAAATTGTCTTTGACTACCTCCAAACTCAAGCCTTCGTGGCTTGGCATTTAATAATAATTGTTTTACTTCGCTTTCCCTGATAGCGTCCATCCGATTAGGATAAATGTGCATTCTAAATAGATTTTTCATTCGGACTTCTGTTATGGTGGCTCTGGTACACATATACAATCTTCTTAGTGCACTGAATGAACAGCAAACTTATTTTTTTATGTTCTTCACTCTCCAGTTTAATATTTGAAGAGTGTGAAAGCTCTGAGTTCTAGGAAAGCACTGCCCCCCTTGCACCCCCCCTGTATACGCCCTTGGTGATTAAGTGAGGTCAAAATAAAGGTTCTTAAATCTATTAAAGTTTTGTTTTTATTTTTTATAATCTGATAGATTTTTTTTCATTCTTGCAGTTACAAAATCATTTTTTGCTCTTATAAATCAAATTAAATTGCTTATTATTAATACTGACATATTTTTTAATGTATAGTCATACCTCGTATATGTATAGTAGGAATGCCTTTGTAGGATTTTTTCTTTCTTTGTTGATAATTTACTGGTGAATTCTATTTACAAATATTTTTAAATCAACAAACTATTACAGAGAAACCATTTATACGATTTATACTGCTTATATGTAAAGCTGGTATAATATGGTGGCATGGCTCAAATTTTGTCGTGTTACCGTGAGTCCAGAACTTGTATATGTAAAAACTATAATAACTTGTATATGTAATTAGTATAAAATAAAAACTATTTCCATGCTGAAAAGTCTTCAAATTAGGAGAGTTTTGTTATATGTATTTGTTTTAAACTCTAAAAATTTAATTTTAATATACTTGAAAATGCTGCGTCGTATTTATAATTTTCATTTTTTTGGTAGTTTTCCTTTGTGTTACTTTGATGCAATTTTCGATTTTAAAGGGCGTGTCAGCGAAAAATGAAAGGGGTATAGGCGTACGGCGAAAAAAAAAGCGCTTTTGATCGCTACTAATCTTACCTCTAACTGTTGCGTCTGTAAAATCTAAACTATTATTCTAGGATAAACTACAGCCTGTGAGAAGATTTGTGAATCAGTGTGATCCTGTCAAGAACTTTCTATGCAGGGTGATTGAATATGAACAATAAACTCTTATTAATCCCGCACTATTCAAGTTAAAATAATGTTAAATGCAATTTCTACCTGTGTTTTAAAAATTACGATAACATTTATAAACCTTCCCTGGGGTCCCTAGATGTCCCACAAAAAATTTGGACCCGATCGGTTCAGCCGTTTTGACGTTTATTGGATACAAACAAACAAACAGACAAACAATTAAACAGACAGACAAGCCAAATTTATATAGATGCAGAAGAAACATTGAAGGAAATTGTACGAATTAAAAACTTTAAAATAACAATATCTCATGCCAGGTAAAAGGCTGGGAAACGTTCCGGCAAGTTTTTAAAAATGGAATGGTTAACTAACAGAAATTGCTGTTCTTGTAAAAAAATAACGGTTTAAAAGAATAACGAACGGATTTTATTTATTTTGTAGAGATCACAAACTAAGAATCCACAAGAGATGGAAGGATAAAATCCGGGAAGGATGAAAAGAGAATCCAGGAGCCAGTCTGATTAGAACCAGGAAGAAGAGAAGACCTTCAAGCTTAATTCTCAACATATTTATAGAATTTGTAATATATTTATATCCTAAGAATATCAGTAAATATATAATCTTCACAATTTTGACGTTTTTTACGTGTTTTGATCAGTGGCGTAAATAAGGGGGGTTTTTGGGGGTATAAATACCCCCCCTAGAATTTAAAAACTTCATTTTAAAATTGAATATCTTTTAAATTTGTACAAAAATGTGCAGATACTTCAGATATTTCAGATAAAGTCAAGATATTCTAAATGATTCTAAATTCTAAAGTAAATAGATTTGTAAACAAGAATATAGATGCCTCAGTGTTCGTTTAGTATCCGAGGAGGTTAAAAGCATTGAATTTTGATAATTCACATAATAGTTTCCTATGACTAGAATATTTCATTGATTTTTTATGTAAAAGATAGAACCCATGTCAGGCTGTAACATCCGTCTTGTGTTTACATTACCGAGACAGTACAAAAGATGTGTACACTTCTGAAATAACTTTCCTTGCATTAAATCCATGATCTAAATGTTGTTTCAAAATTTGTCCTATTTTATTTTTTACATGATACAATTTTAGTCGTTTACGGCTGGCACCGTTAACATTTTATAAACTACTCTCCACGCTCCACTTGTGAGCGAGGAGGTGGTGCGGAAAAGGCCTAGTGCGGAGCCCCCGATTATTTTGATTTCGCATTGGGAGTATTGGGAGTGAATATTTTAAGTGCTTAAAATATACTTTAAATTCTTCAATCAGACATATAATAGCTGATAGCAAATAAATAAGGTCGAGACTCGACGATAGCTCTTAAGAAAAAAAACGTTAATATCAAAAACTAACGATTAGGGTTGAGAAATTTTTCTGAAATCATTTAACAGAAGCAAAATTGTATTCTACTTGGAATTTTAAGACATAATTTTAAAAAGCATTTTTACAAAAAGTGGCTCCCTCACATTCGGTTTAAAGATAAAAAATGTAAAAAAATCACTAACGTAAAAGTAAAATCAAAAAAAGCATTTATATTTGGGTATCAATGAAGTCTGCGTAAAAAATTGAGTTAAAAAATATGAAAATTTGGGCAATCTATGGTCAAAAAATCATTTTCTGTCAAATATTTTTGGTACTCAAAAAATGGTTTTATTTTTGTTTTAAATTGGTTAATTATCAATCTCTTCATGTTTTGTAATTTTCTTAGAATTCGGGAAAACAACCCATTTTCAAAAATACCCATGTATTGAATATCTAGTGAGAAAATATCATTTTCGTTCGTGGTGTTTTTTACATTTTTTATAAACCCAATTCAGGGTCTTCGGGGAGCCATTTCTGGGTTTTGTAAAAATTACATTTATGAAACAAATAGAATACAATTAGTTTGTTTATATTTTAATTGCATACGGTTGTACTTGCAGAGACATTATAGAAACGTCTTAACAACAATTTACAGTTTTCATAAAAAAAACTCTAGCAGACATAATATCAAGGCTTTTGAAATTAGGTATTACAATTCTAATTCATAACAGAGACGATATCGAAATCGTCACTGAATTCCCATGTTTATCGGGACACCCTGTAGGAAAACCGATTTGCATAAAGAGAAAATAAGAAGTTTTTCCCCCCTAGTTCTCGTCCTTAGATTCGAGCATTCATTTTTAACAGCAATGCAAATCAATTTATACCATTTCTAGTAAGTAATAACAGTTCAATTGTAATGACATGGGTTTCCTTTTTTATCTGTATCAGTAATGTTCAACCTAAAAATACCTACTAAACATAAGATCTTGAAACTTTTATTTAGTAGACACACAAGATAATTTCATAAATATATGATTTCTAAATGGACTCTCCTCTCATCGGAACTATTTAATCTTTCTTGACAAGATACTTTATTTTTAAAATTGAACTTTCAAACAGGTTATTCATGTACAGTGTACATTACTGCACTGTGCATTGTATGTAGATTGTACAATACAAGACTTTGTATGTACAGAGATCGGAACTATTGTGTGGATATGGATAATCTTGATCACCACGCTTGATTTCGATATCAAATGTGGGCACTTTTAAAAGTGAAAATTAATGCTTAATTCCCACATTAAAGTTCTGGCTTCTGTACACATTATGTACACATTTAAGGTCGCTGAAATAGTTTGATATTGTTAAGGTAAATATGACTAATACTTTAACTAATAAATAACAAGACAATATTTGTTGCTAGTAAGATCTGTAGAGTGTACTGGCTTTGTGTACAAGTATGTACACAAACTAACTGTTCTCTATGACCCCATCAGGATTGTACGTCAAAAACTCTCCACGACTCGTATGGGCGTTTGACATATGAACAGATAATGACACTTTATTTTTGAAAACCTAAAAAAAGAACCAATTTAGAAAAGAAGATTTAAGATAAAACGAAAAATAAAAAACTTTAGAGTTTATGATTTTCTGGGACAGATTGAGCCATCTTATTTAAACTACTTTAGTCTAGAACTGTGTTAGGTTTCAAGTAAATTTTAAAAATTCCGAATTAAAAAATTTATCAATACCATTTCGGGAAAATGTAAACAAACAAAAAAAATTTGAAAGTCAAATTTCGTCAAAAATACGTAACATAAAAAAATACCAAGAAATGCCAACTTGAATATTTAATATGCTGGAAAGGATAAAGAGAATAAAATACCTTTTTGCATAAATAGCAGGGTAATCTTTCATCCTCTGTGTGAACAGTTTGTACGTGTCTTTTCCAATTAGATTTTCTATTTGGTGGATAAACCTTAATGTAAAAAAAATATTAATCCTTGAAATACTTTGAAAAAAAAATAATTTTACCTTTCCACAATGTTCGCATTCGTAAAGTTGTTCGCCGTCCAGTAGAATTGTATTTTCTGAAAATAAAAATAAGATTAGAAAAGTTTTTAAGATGTGATTTGTGTTACAGAAATAAATTCTAATATTTATTTCTGTGATAACAACTGTAGTGCACTTTCAGAGCACTTTCACTTTTGCAAAGTTTATTGCAGGCGGTACATGTGAAAACAAGCCCAACATTTTCATGAATATCTCTAATATGAGTTTTGAGTGCAGAATTGCGGGAGAATGATTTTCCACAAATGTTGCAATCAAGTCCTGAAAAATACACAATTTGAAAACTACAAAATCGTGGAATTGAATAGTAACATATAAATTTGGATAATTTGACGTTTAATATGATAGTTTATGATAAATTCTATGATGCATTCGTAGAGCACTTTCACTTTTACAGTTTTTTCTACAGAGGGGGCAGCTGAATACTTTTCCAACGTTTTCATGAACATCCCGAATATGGTTTCTAAGATTGTCTTTTCTAGAGAACTCTTTGAAGCAGTATGAGCAGAACAGATCTGAAAAATCAGCTTTTATATTAAAAATGTATTTTTGCTCATTGCATTAGTATGTTTTCTTGCATGAGGCAGTAGCGTCTTTTATGCATTCTAAGGGCAGAAACACTTTTGCACGTTTTCCCACACAAAGAACAGCTGATAGGCTGGCCACTGTTAGCATGGATGTCGCGCACATGAACGCTTAAGTTCTGTTTCGTAGAAAACCACTTTCCACAATATTCACAGCCTAAAATATCAAAATAAGTTTTAAATATATATCACAATAAACTAAACTTTAACTTTACCTTCACAAAAAAAATAATTCAATTCTTTATTTCTTTAAAACTTAAATATTACTTTGATGGCCTATGATAAATTGACATGTGTACTTTAAGCGCATTTAAAGATTTTGCGGGTTTTCCACACACTGAACATTCAAACATTATTCCCGCGTTTTCATGAATATCTCGCACGTGGGTTCGTAGAGCATCAGGGCGGGAAAACAGTTTTCTACAATGGCCACAAATCAGATCTGAAAAATTTCGAAGAAATTTAAAACAACATCTATATTTAACAATTTTACTTTCAATAATACTTTGTTATAGATTATAAATGCATCTGTCCCAATACTTTTTAAAAACCTGAAAAAGAAAGGAAATAATGCTCGAGGTGAGTCTTAGGTTTATTTTTTGTACAATGTACACCAGTTAAGTTTTAATACAAAATAGGAACCGTTAACAATTGATCAAGCCAATTTTTAGAACTTGCTGTCCTTCTCTTCTCTCTTCTGTTTCATTCTCCTGTTCTGAAACCAGATTTTGATTTGTCGCTCACTAAGCTGCAGCTGTTTAGCGAGCAGTATGCGCCGGTCAACTTGAACAAAGTTGCAGAAATGGAATTCTTTCTCAAGTTCGAGGATTTGTGCAGAGCTGAAAACTGTTCGCTGGCGGAGGGAGTCGCGGGGGGAGAGTGGGCTTAAACTCATCTCAGAGATCTCTGAAGGATCAAGATGGCCCAGACTAGGATGGGGAACGAGGATTGCTGGAGATCGAGTAGAGCCGCGTCGATCTACAAATAAGAGCGAAATTTTAGAAATGATAAATAACAAATCTTTTTTAAAAATTAACTAAGTACTACTTGAACATAAGGTGTCTAAGAAATAATGTACAATTGTTATCATTCTTTCTCAGACACCAGCTAGCAAATCAAACAATATAATAAACAACTAATTTATTTTTCTCCTTTGTGGTATAAAGATCTATGGTTGCGCAGCGTATTAATATTTTTAAACTGTTTGCCGCAAATGCCGCAACTCATTTTCGAATAATGCAGCACCAAATGATCCGCCAATTCCACTTCTCTTGAAAACAATTTGTAACAATAGGAGCATTTGAACTCGCCGAATCCATATCCTGAAAAATGCAAGAGTTTCACAACAATTGAACAGGTACATGTACGGTTTATTCATTGTACATAAGGTTAGGATTGATAACGTTAGGATATTCTTTATGGTACAACGATTTATGATTAGCTAAAGAGTTCTTAGATTTAAAAACTTTCCCACAGACAGTACAATTCCAGGGGCGGGGACTCTCATGCATGTCACGTACATGAACTCGTAGATTTCCAGACTCGGAGAAGGTTTTACCGCAATAGTTACACGTGTGTCTCCAACCTAATCAATAATAAATACATCAAGAATAATACTAGATTCAAGAATACGATTTTATTCACATTTAATTCTCAAGGTTTAAAAGTATTAAAACTTGAATACGCCATATTGGAGGCTGAATGTCCCGTGTTTCTGTGATAAATAGATTTATGATTCCTCATGCTGCTCACACTTTTGTACAATTTGCCGCAGACTGGACACGGAAACTCTGAAACGAACGAACTATCAGTATTTAGAATATTTGCGACAAAGCTCGCGATGTTTAGTTGAACGATGAAAGTATAGGCTAGCACGAGTACTATAGTATTTCCCACATAGCGAACAAGACCACTCGCCGCCATCTGAAAATTTAGTTCTTAGAAGTGGAGACAAAATAATTTTCCCGAAATGTAAAAGAAATGAGGGTTAACAGTTTATATTTTATACATAGGCTACATTTGAAAATTATCAGTATTTTAAAAACATGGTGTTTCGTTTTTTTACAAACTCCGGATGTTTGAGGCTGCGATGGTTGTTGAGGGAAAACCGGTTCTTGTAAAGTTTCCCGCATATCTCACATCCCCGCTCTGAAATTGTTGGTCCTTCAAATAGCATAATGGTAAAATACGAGAGGGGGTTATGGGGGTTTAGGGCTAACCTACACCAATAATAAATTATATTAAAGTGTGATATTAATAAATTTTAATAATATTACTAACTATTCAAATAGTTGTGACATGCGCATTTTGGTGTCGAATATTTCATCAGTTTGCGCAGGCAAATAATAAAAGACAAATTTTGAAATATTTCATCAAAATTAAACAATTACAAGAAAATATTAAATATCATATTTTTTTCCTCGATGAATTTTTGTTTATCAAAATTATTCCATCTAACAAATATGAATTAAGAAGATTTTAAATTTTTTTTTAGGGATTGCTTGCAAAATTGAAAGCGGATCTAGGATGAGATAAATTAAACTATAAATCAATCCGGATCCTGTATGTAAATGGTTCCGGGTCCAAATCCAGAGTCGACTGATCAATGCTTCTCGCAATTCTTATTTTTTGTTTCCAAATTTAAATTTTTAATATTTTCTTAATTATTGAGTTACTTTTATGAACCTCATTTAGCATTAAATAATCAGGTTTTAATAATATCTTGTTTTAAAATATTTTTAAAAAATCAGTGGACAGAAAATGTTAAGAACCTGGTTTCAAAACATGATCTATCCTACACCCACACTTCATTTTTACACACATTCCCTTTAAAAAGAAAATTTCTCTTTTTATCAGAAAGTTACTTGTACAAAATCCGGGTTACCGTACTGCATGTTCAGATGGGAACCCGGTTTATAAATCTGTACATGAACTATACAAGCTATAACAATATATAAATTGTTATAGCCTGTAGTAGTAGATTTCTAAAAGCAGCAAAATATTAGCAATAAACTACAAAAAGCAGAAAAACTACGAAGCGAGCAGATATAAATATCGTTATTAGAAATATAGAGAACATCTAGATATTTTATGAACAAAAAATAATAATTCTAAATTTTTCTGAAGCAAGGTAAATACAAACAAATGTTCAAATATTTCTAATAAAAGCTATCATGAAAATTTAAAAATCCAGCCTTGAATTTGAAAATAAGAAGTGAAAATATTCAAAGCTGAATTTTGATAGGTAAGGTAGTTATGACTCAAGGATATACAATGAGAAAACTGGCCCCTGACTTCAGTAAAAATATCTGATCTAAAATGCCATGAACCTCTGCTTAAACTTTCCAAACAAATATTTCTAAAGAGCTTAAAAGTTTGAAAGTTTTATATAAATATATAATATATATTTCCCATGATTGGATTGACAAAGTTAACCCGCGCGCATTTTCCACCAGTGGTGCTCCTGAATATCCTTGGCAAAAAAACAAAATGGCGTCCTACCTTTTCCTGCTTGTCCCTGATCCACCGGGTCCACGCCATAGTTTCCGTCCTCGTAGTACTCTCCATAGTCCTCCGTCTCAGCAAACTCCTCCGTAAACGCCTCCCCGACCACCTGAACCGACTGCGGCGGCACAGCCGCGCTGAATCCAGGTGTCACTGTTTCCAACCGCTCTTGCTTAACCGTCGGCGGTTCGGTCGGTTTGATTTCTTCTATCTCGTCATCGTCTATTTGATCGAACTTTGGCCGTTTGGCCGGCGTTTCACTCGGTTCGGCGGCGCGCACTTTTGTTTTGTTGTCTTTGGGTTTGTTTGTGTCCTTGCCGTTGTTCTGACAGAGTCCGCGCACGCGCAGTTTCTCCGCCACAGATAAGAATGAGTTTAAATGTTCTTGTTTCACGTTCACCTCCCCGTTGTACATAAAGTCGAGGATAGAACTCAGATCTCGGGGGCTCACGTCCTGGAATAATGCCAACCAATAAAAAATAATCAGTGCTTAGGATTCGTTGGATCCGCAACATAATGTCTTCCTGGATCCGGATCCAAGGGGCAAAATATCTATAAAATAAAAACAAACAAAAAATACGGTTTTTTCTCAAATCACAAATCTAGACTGTTGAAAAAAGGGAGATAATTGAAAATGTTATTCATGATTTATGATTTATGATTTATGATTTAATCATGAAAATAAGCTGGAAAAAGAAAAAATAACTTGAAAATTCTTCTTTTTGGTTTGAAATAAATCAGTATATCTTTGAGAAATGTTATGACCTGATTCCGGATTTAATGAATTTGAGCCGCGTCTCAACTCCGCAAAAAACCGGTTTCAATTAAGCGCCGGTTTAATCTTGAAACATTGATTGCAATTTTAAGAGGAACCAACCATATTTGTGCCGCGTCTCAAATTCAAGCCGAGGCTCAAGTTCTTTAAAATCGTCCTCAAGATTCGGGTCCAGATACATTACATCAGAGCGGATCCAGGATCCGGATACGCACCAAAATGAAATAGATCCTAAGCACTGAAAAAATACTTTAGAATCACAAGGAAGTGAGCTTACCCATAGTAAAATGACTGGATTTTGTGAAGGGTTTTGTTTGAGTAGATTCTTGAAGGTTAATGAACAAGCTGACAGTATCACCTAAATACAACAAATTAAATCACTTTTCAAGTAAAGTTGAATGCAAGGGGGGGATTATAAAGGAGATGGGAAGAGAAATATATGACTATATTAAGGAAGAACAAGGTCATGAACAAGACAAAGACAAGGTCATGAACAAGACAAAGACAAGGACATGAACAAGACAAGGACAGGAACAAGACAAGGACAGGAACAAGACAAGGACAGGAACAAGACAAGGACATGAACAAGACAAGGACAGGAACAAGACAAGGACAGGAACAAGACAAGGACATGAACAGGACAAGGACATGAACAGGACAAGGACATGAACAGGACAAGGACATGAACAGGACAAGGACATGAACAGGACAAGGACATGAACAGGACAAGACATGAACAAAACAAGGACATGAACAAGACAAGGACATGAACAGGACAAGGACATGAACAGGACAAGGACATGAACAAGACGATGACATGAACAAGACGATGACATGAACAAGACGATGACATGAACAAGACAAGGACATGAACAGGACAAGGACATGAACAGGACCAGGACATGAACAGGACCAGGACATGAACAGGACCAGGACATGAACAAGACCAGGACAGGAACAAGACAAGTACATGAACAGGACAAGGACATGAACTGGTCAATAACATAACAAAGACAAGGACAAGAAGAAGACTAGGGCAAGACAAAGACAAGGACATGAAGCAGACTGAGACATGGACAGGACATAAAAAGGATCAAGACATGAACGGGAAAGGATGAAGGACAAGAACATGAAAAGGACATACCAGGACTAGGATATGTGCAGGTCAAATACCTTGTGTGCTTTTATCTGTTGCCCATCACAGGATAGGGTTACGTCCATGAAATCAGATTCCTCTCGTAAATCCTAAAAATAGAACATTTATTGTTGAATGTATATTATACCACTTGTCGGATTTACTACGTAGCCGAATCAGGAATAATTCTTATTATTCGCACCGATTTCGTGTAAATGTGGTTTAATATCATTATGCGTAGGAATAAAGTGTAATAATGAAAATTATTGTTATAATACTGATTAGTAAACTTTCTTCCTATGCATAATTAGGGTTGGGCGCGTTCCTGGTGGAACGATCGTTCTTTCCCGAGAACGAACGGAACGATCAAGAACGATCCCATCGTTCCGAAAAAAAACGAACGCTTAGAATGCGTTCTTAAAAATATTGGAACGATTAGTAAAAGAACGGAACGGAACGGGAATTGCTTGAAAAGAACGGTTAAAATCGTTAACGCGTTCTTATTATCAAGAACTTGTTCTAAATTGGAAACGCATTTTAAATCACGAATGTGTTCTAAATCCTCTAGAAATAGTTAGAGATTTTTTTATTTTTACGGCCGTGAGGACCTTTTTATTAAAAAATTGTAATTTTTTTAATTTTTTAACAACTCTTTTCCATAAAACTTTTGTCTTTGATGTAATTGTTCGTTACTAAGAACGGAACGGGGGATGGAAACGTTCTTGATTAAGAACAGAACAAGAGGGATGCAACCGTTCTTCAACTAAGAACGCCAAGAACGGAACGGAACGGGAAGACCGTTCTTCTACTCAGAACGGAACGGAACGAGAACGGAACGATAAAAAAAGAGGAACGAGAACGGAACGATTTAGCTGAAGGCCCTCGTTCTAGAACGGAACGATTTCAAAAAAGTTGGAACGTGCCCAGCCCTATGCATAATATACTAGTATCTAAGAATAATACGGTTCATGATGTACAGAAAAGTATAAAAAGCTGACAAATTATATTTTCCCCATTGACACTGTACAGTGTAGTATGTACACTGTACAGTGTAGTATGTACACTGTACAGTACACATAAACATAAAGAGGGAAAACATGAGGGATGGTGTCTGAATAGATTACCTGAAACGTGGATTTTATACATTGTTGGAAATCATTCCATTTGAGACAGAACTGTTCGTCCTGGTTCCCCATCTTATTTCATGGAGGGACTCTGCAATTAGGTTCGTTTGGTTAATTTTAAGATTTGAATAAGGATATATCATTGATTAGAAGAGCGGGGATGGAGGGAAGGGGTCTTAGTCATGTCATCACTCTAATTACTCTACACAAACTTAAAATTTTCAAGGGTTTACACACACAGGATACAAAAATGTAGAGCTGGTAAAGTTACAATTTGAGCAATATCAAATGAAAAGGCCCTAACAGTTAAATTTTTTAAGTATCTTAGAATTAGCAGGATTCATAAAGATAATATTTTAAATACTGATTTATCACAGAAAAATGAATCACAAGGTTATTATGTAAATTTGTTTAAATATAAAATAAAGCAATTTTAAAGATCTATAAATCATGATTAGAAAGGATTACTTCCAGGCTAAATTAGATGACAAGTTGAAAATAATCACGGGATTTCATTAAAAGTAAAAATTCGGCATTGTCATTGAAAAATAGTCTCATAACGTATCAACCAGTTAGGTCAGGAAAACTGATTGACCCCACTTTCATTCTGGTTGAAGGTTAACCCCTGGGTAGAACTCGACTCCAGGCTCTATCTTGATACTGAGTACGGATCCAGGCGTGTAACAGCACTGAGAACCGGGTTCTCCAGTTTATCCATGAGATCCTGATCCACAAACTCCTCTTGAACTCTCACGTTCTCGTTGTTCACGATATTAGCCAGCAACCACACAGTCTCCTACATGAGAACTTCAAACTATTTGCTTATAATCATGATATGTCCGATTTTGACATAACAAAAAAATGTTAAAAATTTCGTCTCATTAAATATAAAATAAAAGCCTGTAACCTGACACAAGCTGGTATAGTTGGTTGAGAGTAGAGCTGTGAGTATGGGTGGGAAGTCTGGATGTCGAACCAGGTGAACGGAAACATTAACACTATCCGGCCCTGCGGCTAGGTTACCCAGGATTCGGATAATCGGTGTTAACACCTGTAGAAATTATTAAAATAAAAATAAAGAAAAATAAAGGGGTTTAATTGTGTTATTTCTTTTACTTTTAGCCCTTCTATACCGTTGTGAACCAGACATACAACTGTATACCGTTGTGAACCAGACATACAACTCTATACCGTTGTTAACCAGACATACAACTCTATACCGTTGTGAACCAGACATACAACTCTACACCGTTGTGAACCAGACATACAACTATATACCGTTGTGAACCATACATACAACTCTATACCGTTGTGAACCAGACATACAACTACCGTTGTGAAACAGACATACAACTCTATACCGTTGTGAACCAGACATACAACTATACCGTTGTGAACCAGATATACAACTCTTTACTGTTGTGAACCAGACATACAACTCTATACCGTTGTGAACCAGACATACAACTATATAAATAAATGTTCACTTGAAATCACTTCAATTTAATATTTGTTTTTATCCTTCCATACCTTAACTAAAGGTCGAGAATCACATTTCTGGAATATTTCGTAGGTTGAAATCTGAACCAATGTATCCAATATCTAAATAGAAAAAAATGTCAACAATTTTTTTTAGAAAAGTAGTTCAACTATCAATAACTAGTTTGACTACTTTTTTATTCATTAATTCCGACCACTGCACTTATAGCCGAACCTCAAGTTTAAATTGTATTATTTATTCAAGAATAAAATCCCTCCCTTAGATTTAGAAATGCACAAGTTAAAGTAGAAAAATTGTCACCGTCCAACAATCATTTATTATCCCCACTAGCTACCGCGCGAATGTAATAAAACTTGGCAGAAAGTTTGTTTGACCTGATGTGTGGAGAACTGTGAATGAAGCATCTGGTTTGCTGAGAGTGAGAAGAAGACCCAGAGGAGTTGGATTGGAGACCTGGTAGACAGGTTGGAGGTCACCAGGCGGGTCAGGGAGGTCAGACTAGCGGCCTCGAGGTCAGAGTTCGTCACGAGGTTGTACAAGGATTGGTAACTCAGTTCCTAAAATAATTAAATACAAATGGAGGGTATATAGTATATACTTTGTTAAAATTCAGGTTTTTGTCGAATATGATTCATCCTGACTTAAAATAATTTGTTAATGCCTAAAATTTATTTATTTTCCCCCAATCCCAATCCTGTCCCAATCCCGTCCCGTCCCGTCCCGTCCCGTCCCGTCCCATCCCATCCCATCCCATCCCATCCCATCCCATCCCATCCCATCCCATCCCATCCCATCCAACTTGAAGAAGAATAAAGAAAAAATTGTAAAAAAAGTGTGGCAGGGTATACATGTACTTTATGTACATATATACCTTAGAGTAGACTTGTTTTGTTGCTTTACTCCAATGTTTTTTGTCTTTATTTTATTACTGTCGGGTTTCCTCTTCACTGACCTGTATTTGCTCCTCCCCAGAATTCGCCAAGTTCAGTAGATTTGGAAATATCTGTTGATTCAGTAAAACCTTCTCAAAACAGACAGATTTAATATTTAATTAATCGCATTTTTCGGTCCATTTTGAATAAGGTCAACATTAAAAGAAAATTTCAAATTGCAATTATATTTTCGTCATATTCTTAGTTTAAAGAATTGCTATTTTGAATTGAGAGCCACCATTTTAAATTAAGATTTACCATTTTGAATTGAATATTACCATTTTATATTGAGAACCCCAATTTTGATTTGAGAACAAATATTTTGAATTAAATCTAATTTCCTTGTGAGTTTGTTTATCTTTAGATCTAGTTAGATTGACCAATACTGTGCAAGCCAGCTCTTGAACCTAATAATAGATAAATTAAGAAGGCTAGGATAATAATGGAATGGAATAAATGTATTATGACAGTGTGATGTGAATGCATGTAATGTATGTCTGTAGTATGAACAGATGAATATAAAACTGAAAGTTAGAAGTATGAATGAATGAATGAATGAATAAATTAATATATAACAGGATGAGAAAAATAAAACATTAACTGAATGGATGAATGTCTAAAGGATGGAAGGATGGAAGAATGAAATATTAACTAAATGGATGAATGTCTGAAGGATGAAAGGATGGAAGAATGAAATATTACCTGAATGGATAAATGTCTGAAGGATGAAAATATGAATGAATGCTAATATTAACTGAATGGATGAATGTCTGAAGGATGAAAGGATGGAAAAATTAAATATTAACTGAAAGGATGGAAGAATGAAATATTAACTGAATGGATGAATGTCTGAAGGATGAAATATTAACTGAATGGATGAATGGATGAAGGATGAAAGGATGAAATATTAACCGAATGGATGAATGTCTGAAGGCTGAAAAGATGGAAGAATGAAATGCTAACTGAATGGATGAATGTCTGAAGGATGAAAGGATGAAATATTAACTGAATGGATGAGGGATGAAAAGATGAAAGAATGAAATATTAACTGAATGGTGAATGTTCTACCTGAACATTATCTCCTGAGAGCATTGTTATAAGATAGGGACCAGAAAATCTCGCTATCTGAACCTGTTTAGAGTCACGTGTCCGGCTAGCTAGGTTCGAGTCTCCCACTTCTTGTCCCACCTGGCCAGACTCTTGCATGGTTAGGTTGGCGAGACAGTACATCGCCAAGATCTGCTTCCCACTGTCTTTCCCTGCAACAAGACATTTGATTCCAAGATATCAGTTAAATAAAAACTTTAAGACATCGTAAAAGATTGGATCAACCTCATAAATCAGCCGTAAAACAATAATTAGAGGAGAGGAGGTTCATCTTTTTAGAAAAATTACCCTTTACAGTTTACAAGTGGTTTGGGTGGGTAGATTCTTAAAATTACCACAAAATTACCACATGCAATTGGAACTTCAGATAAGTTACGTACAAAAAATCAATACGCAAGAATTGTCATTCTTTTTACGAGTTTTTACCCAGTAATTCAATTATTGTTCCGAAAGATTGATTTCCATTATGGCGATTAAACCCCCACTTTATAGCGCTCTGCACTAACATACCCTACATCTGGGAAAGAATACCCCCCCCTCTGTATTTTATCGTATATTACCTGAAATAAGTCCAACAAGGCCATGTAAACAACCATCTTCTGCTTGAAACTGTAAACAGTAATCAGTATGAAGGAGGGCACTGCTTAATCTAAACAAATGTATACAATTTCAAAAAATATAAGGAACCCGATTTATAGGATAGTTCAGTCATGCATTCATTTCTAATAATTAATAATAGGTAACAATCATTTTAAAAAGTTTAATCATCTTATCATTCAGCAATTTAAGCCACAGCTAGGACTATGTCACTATCTTATCATATTAAATATTTATCCAATTTCATGTCAACGGGACTATTAAAAATTTAAATAAACGTGAAATTTAATCCCTGGTACTCAAATTTTGATATATTCAGACATCATCCTTTTTCAATCTGTTGTACAGGAAGGAATGAAAATATCGATTTTTCTCTCAAAACGGTTTCAGACATCAGGGAGTAGATCGATAATGTCGTAAAATACTTCACAATATTCAATAAATATTTAGGGAATACACATGGGTTGTTTTGTTGCTTTACTCCAATGTTTTTTGTCTTTATTTTATTACTGTCGGGTTTCCTCTTCACTGACCTGTATTTGCTCCTCCCCAGAATTCGCCAAGTTCAGTANATTTACTGAATGAACAAAGAAAAATAAAAAAACAATTATATTGAGGGGAACTTGAAAGACAAAAGTTTAAAATAACGTTTCCAAACTATGATTCTTCAATTAAATAGAACTTAAAATTTTCACGAGATTTATTTTATTTGATTTACTGCGAGAACCTGTTTTTATTTCTTCATACTTTTTGATTCCACCGAATGGACAAATAAATAATAAAAACACGAAAAAGCTCAGAAAGCGTCGATTACCTTTTTAATTGCGTTGAAGAAATTTTTCCAGATTTGCACAAAATTATTAAATTCTTTTTTTCTCTGTCTCCAACTTCAGACTTGTATTCAGACAAATCAATCTTTCTCCCTCGAGACTGCGCTTCGAGCCGTCGACGCGCTCGAGCCTCGGCCCCGGACACGTTCGCGCGCTGAACAACAGCGCGCACCTCCTCTGAACCTTGGGCAGGTCCATTCATTTCATCTGGAAAGAAACTTTATCATATCCATATATATAAACAGCAAATTATCTAGTATAAACCGATTGGATGGAAGAGGGAGCCGTATAAAAGTTGGATAGCACGGGGGGGGGGGGGAGGTAATGAAAATATCGCGAAAATATATATATTTAATTTCTGTAAGTTATGTTTACCAGAAAATAGAAATATCAAACCAGGATGTAGCAAATGTAATCACGTACAGCTAATTAATGTTTCGGGTGAAGGTGTTAAATGACAAATTAAGAAAGATGGTCATATCCTAGAGAACTGTTTTAGGATCCCGGCACAGAATTCCCAGTGCCACATCTGTAATCTTACGAAGGCTTCTAATCATTTAAAATCATACACCTGGGACGGCCGAGGACGGATAAACATATTGTAACCTTTTTCATAGAAATAAACCCTTGCACTGTTCAACATCTCAAGGCCGAGCGCTGAGGATAGGTAGCAAGATAAATACAAAGAGGGAAACCAAAGGGCGGGAATTTATAATTTAATTTATGTACCGTTAGGAGATCGATTGATTGACAAACTAAGGGCCGGGTCAAGAGTCCCCTAATAGCACTCTTAACTAATCCTGGTTGGTAGGATCATCTACCCTACGCTTGAACCAACCTACCCTAAATAAATAACAGGACTTTTCATCTAAAGACGGACAAATAACAACAATTTAACTTTCACCAAACAAAGCACAGAGTCTAGAGACGCTCACTAAACTGAAGTAATTAAACAATAATAATAAATGCCGAGAACCTTTAATAGCATCACTTCTAGTCCAAACCTTAATCTTAATTGTTTTTGAACAGAGACGACATTAAAATATATAAACACAATAAAAATTACATTTGAGCAACACAAATTTATTTGGGATGACATAGTTGACATTTATCTGCAATAATATGCATTTATTCTGAGACAACTTTAACATTATTTTGAGAGAAATTATTTTGACCGGAAATAGAATTATTCAAATCGGATCTAATTGATTTAAGATTGCGAACCCCGCATTGATAAACTAAAATTACAAAATAATTAAAGCTTTTCCATTATTTAACATTTTTTCTGTTTCCAAGCATTGGTTTTAAGATTTTTAAAAATTATTTTTACTAAAATGTCGGTGATCCAAACCTGAACTGGAAGCTGAAATATCCTTGGCAAATGTCTGAAAAGTGTACACTTGCGTCAGCTGATCCAATTCGGCCATTTCTCTGCTACACAGACCATTTTTTTGGATCCTTCAAGTTTCCAGCTTACGAGGAGGGGATACAGTATTTAAAAATGTTCTCCCAGACGAAACAATTGGTCCCCGTCCTGTAAGTATCTTTCAAGCGCCATTATTTTTGCAGTTTCGCTTTTATCACATTGATTATTTTAATTTAATAATGTTTATCCTGGAAAGCTATTATTATGTCCATGAATTAGATTTGCAGTAAGTAAACTATATATGAGAAATGAGTTTTTCCTTATAATGCTAGTCAAAGGTGTATAGGGCGATATTCACCTTGATGGGGAATTTCTGATGTTTTGGTTCAAAGTATGTATGTAAAATTTAGCTGTTTGATATCTTTATTTCCTTTTCTCTCCTTCAACCCCATCCTATCGTAATATTACCACTTCCTAAATATCGCGCCCTTAACAATTTTTGTTAAGGAACGCGCAATGTCAGCAACAGCGCGGGATGGCAAACTTGAAGATCATCGGTATGCGTCTCAAGTCTGTCAGGAATATCCAGAAAATCACCCAGTCCATGAAGATGGTAAATATTTTAAATCTTAAGTTGGTGTGTTCCTTACTGCGACACAGGAAAAATTATCTTTTTTGATAATGAATTTTTAGTGTTCACGATTCGGGAAAGCAAGTTTTTTTTGAATCACTTGACTTGCATCCTACATAAGAATAAATGGCAAGTTTAATTATTCTTGATATGTAAAGGGGTTTGAAAAATTTTGCTTCAGTAATCGTGTCCAGCGACAAATTTATTGCCTGCCATTGAGTTTGCCCGTCACCAATAAAAAAGGAGTTTTCCTCCAGTAAAATAAGGTTTGTTAAAGTCGTTTACCTAATAAAATTTTATAAATAAATAACAGTAAGCGTATAAGTGTGCGTTAAAGGTGTTTGCCAGTTATAACAGGTGCCCGTAAATATCTCAAAGTAATTATATGTAGTAAAAAGTGTTAGCTAGTAAAAATTGTGTACTAATTGTATCGGTCCTTTAAATGTATGCTCTAAGGTGTTAAACAATTTATTACGTATGCGGGGTGTTATTAAGGTGTCAAGTCACTGACAAATGTACTTTTTTAATGTGAACCTGGAAGACAAAGTATGTTAAAAGGTGTCTAGTTGTATGTTATGTTCAAGGGTGCAATGTTTAAGTTGTCCCTGTCAGCCATTAGAAATGTAATTTTATTCCGTCATTGTCAGCCACTAATAAATGTATGGTAAGTTGCCACTGTAAGTCACTCTAAATGTAAATATAAGGTGTCGTAAACCACTATATCTTCGCTGTCACTGTCAGCCACTAATAAATGAATGTCAAGGTGCGATTGTAAGTCACTTTTAAGCTGTCACTGTCAGCCCTTGTAAATGTATATATTTAAGGTGTCAGCTGCCAAATTCGCCCGTGCTGAGAGAGATCTGAGGGCTGCCAGACCTCTGGGAAGTGCTGCCAAGTCCTTTTACGATCACGCTGAGGTTAAATAATTTAGTATTTTGTCATGAACAGAGAAACATGTTAGCTATCTTTTTTAATTTGTGTTTACTCGCAATATTGGTGATATGTTTAATTTTAGGGCTGGGGTTTGAAAAAAGGTGCAATAACTAGCCATGTGATCCAATCTGCACTTTTTCCAGATCATTAAAAATCATATCCCCGGGAATTTTTCTTTTTGATTTTAATATGAACCCCAACAAAGAAATTTTGTTCCATTTTTTGCTTTAATCTTGCTTGTTTAGGTTTCTACTAATAAGGAGGCCCCCAAGGAACTATATGTTGCTATGACCAGTGACAGAGGTCTCGCCGGAGCCGTTCATTCCAGCATCAACAAAGCTATCAGGTAAACCGACACCCCACTCCTCATTCAAATCCGTACCCTTAACATAACTCAACGGGAGTTTCTGTTTTGTTGTATCTCCGAAATTTTACTACAAATGTATTAGGGTTAGGGCTTAGGATTCGGATATTTGGATCTGCAATATTTTGGCTTCCGGGATTCGGATCCGCGGAACCGAATACAGGGGGCGGAAATTCTTATTCCCTGGCTAAATACCATTTAAAACCTGGTATAATTTTAGTTTTTGCTCTCAAAACACAAGTCTTAATTGTTCACTAACGAGCGCTTATTAAAACTTCATAATCTTTGAATGTTTCAGCAGCACAAAAAGAAGCGAAAAAAGTAGCGAAAAAAGTAAGAAACAAATTTTCAATCTGTTAAAAAAATCGGAGTTAAAGGAAATGTTCATGACCCGGATCTGGATCAATTTAATTACAGGGCGGATTCATTATCCGTATCAAAATAGAAATGATTATACATAACAAATCCTTTAATGAAACGTGATGCAGAAGCAGGCATAAATTTCAATACAGTATCTTGTACTGAAATTGTGATACAATACAGAAGCAGACATAAATTTCAACACAGTATCTTGTACTGAAATTGTGATACAATACAGAGGCTGACATATATTTCAATACAGTATCTTGTACTGAAATTGTGATACAATACAGAAGCTGACATATATTTCAATGCAGTATCTTGTACTAAAATGACTTACAAATTTGTGGCGGTGACAAAAGACTATCAGGTTTGAAATTGTGTTATATCGCCATTAAGTAACCGACACTGTTTCGATAAAAGTGCTTACCACTGGACTTGTTAAGGAATGATTTGAATGAGAACTTGAGAAGGCTAGCCTGGAGAACGTGAAGGATATCTAGTTTAGACTGTATATCCAATATTAAGGAATGAATTGAATGAGAAGGTTAGCCTGGAGAACGTGAAGGATATCTAGTTTAGACTGTTTATCCAATATTAAGGAATGATATGAATGAGAAGGCTGGCCTGGAGAACGTGAAGGTTATCTAGTTTAGACTGTAAATCCAATATTAAGGAATGATATGAATGAGAAGGCTAGCCTGGTGAACGTGAAGGTTATCTAGTTTAGACTGTATATCCAATATTAAGGAATGAACTGAATGAGAAGGTTAGCCTGGAGAACGTGAAGGATATCTAGTTTAGACTGTATATTCAATATTAAGGAATGAGTTGAATGAGAAGGCTAGCCTGGAGAACGTGAAGGATATCTAGTTTAGACTGTATATCCAATATTAAGGAATGAATTGAATGAGAAGGCTAGCCTGGAGAACGTGAAGGTTATCTAGTTTAGACTGTATATCCAATATTAAGGAATGAGTTGAATGAGAAGGTTAGCCTGGAGAACGTGAAGGATATCTAGTTTCGACTGTATATTCAATATTAAGGAATGAATTGAATGAGAAGGCTAGCCTGGAGAACGTGAAGGTTATCTGTGTCGGAGATAAGTCCAGAGGTTTCTTCCAGAAATTCTTCCCGGTAATATTCAGATTCTTAATGGTTAACTGTTTAATTGAAAATTACTTAAATCTCATTTAAAATTAATAATTCGTCATGTTTAATGATCTTTACGGGTATCGTTGTCTGATTTATAACATGGTTTTATATCGATGCGTTTATTTAAAATAGGAAGTTTTCAGCGCCTTTAAATACAGGGTGTCCCCCGAAACATGACAGTTGCTGAATATTTTATAAATGTCTTCTTCCATAATTTTTTAAGTTGTTTGATACCAAAGAAAATAATAATAAACATTAAATGGCAGTTTTATTATAGTAAAATCGATCCCAGATTAAGATATATTGGAGTAAAAGATTTTTCTACCGAACTGAACTGCAAAAAGTCTTCCAATCTAAACCAGTATTTGGAAGACGACATTCTAAATTGTTCAACTGTCATGTTTCGTGGGACACCTTGTATATCGTTATAAGACGAATATCATTGCTTACAAATTGTATTTTTTAAACGAAAATTCTTAATTCTCGCATTATTGCATTATTAGTAAGTATTGTTCCGATCGTTGCATTTACCACCTAGTCCCTGCTTATCCAACCTGTTCCATTTCCTCCTTTTAGTCCCTTCACTTAAACATTTATTCATACAATTTTGTTACATTCAAGAAGCATTAAATATAATGGAGATGGAATCGACCCTCCCCGCCCTACAATATGATTATATATTCTATGCAGACGGTACTTCAGTTCAAAAAGAAATATTTGTCTGAAATACACTGATTTCGGATTTCCAGACTTGTTCTGATAACCATATCAAGTAATATTAAGTCTGACCCTCACACCATGGGCACATTTTCAACTGGTCTCCATTCTTATTTCTCAATGGTTTCCCAATCCCTCTAAACACCACTCAACAATATGTTAACTCCTAGCTCGGTATTACACCTGCCTCAAAATCTCTAGATCAACCCTTGTGTCAGCAGAAGACACGTTTTCCTTTATATTTCGCCAATTTCAACGGCGATAAAATTATTCCTGACGTGACTAGAATATTTTAGGAGAATATTTTGATGGTCGGATCCGAGATCGGCAGACTCCCACCTCAGTTCGGAGATGCTAGCAAGGTGAAATTCTTTTATTACCTTTTTTCGTTCCCTCAAGTTCAGAAATATATTTTCTATTTACAAAGCAAAATTCTCCTTCAATAATAAAATTGAATTGTATTAATGTATCTCCTTTTTATCCCATGACAATGGAGTAAAGGTCCAGTTAGAGCAGGGGCGGGACGGTGCTTCCTGCGCCTGGAGCCGTTTATGGGGGGGCTTTTTCAGATTTCATCTTATGATTCCTTATTAAAATTATTTACAACTTCTGAATAGGGAAGTTAAGCAAAAGTTTTAATTTCCCGAAAAAAAATAGTTGTACACAATTTTATATTCTTAAGAGATGAAAATGCGCGAGTTTTTTTCCTGAAATCTTAACAGAGCGGGTTGTTATTTTACATAACTGTCCCAAGGGACATTAAGTATCTTATCCTCACTCTGTTGGGGGAATCATAGGTCGGTAATGTTGGTCAATGGTCAGCATAAGGCGGTGAAAGAGGGAATAAATGAGATTTGGTTAATTACTATCCAGAGGCTGGAGGAGAGGGTTGATGTCAAATTTGTTATTCCATCCCCATTGCTCGGGAAGGGGGGGGGGGAGGGGGATATTTTTCCAAATGCTGTTCTATTCTATTTTGCATGAATTTCTATATTTACGGTTCTTTGCTTGGCCTACAATATTTTCCTTAAGTCTTAACATTAGTCTATTCCTTTAAATTAAACATATACAAAATATTAAAGATAAATTAATTATTAACAGGAACTCTTTTTAAGTAAATATTTGGTTTTTATACCCCCCCCCATGTTTAAAAAAATTATCTGCTTTTTCTGTGAAGAAAGTTTAGAAAATATAGATTAGTTAATATAGTTTTATTTTCTACCCTTTACACTCTTAAGTCTTTATTTCATTAAAAAAAATATTTTATTTAATTGTTAGGTCTATGTTTATATATTGTCTAATTTTTAGGTCGCTAACGCTGTTCTTAGCTCTGGATTTGAGTTTGACAGTGGCAAGATGTTCTATAACAGGTGAAAGAACTGTGTTAGATACCGACCATCAATTATTTTTCATTCCTTTTCAACTACCTGAAAAAAACTTGTTGAACGACAAATATAAACTAGAAACGAAACGAGCGTCTTGCAAAATTTAAAAACTAATTATTCGTTTCGTAAACGATGGTGTATAGTTTTTGAATTTTTGATCAACTACATATCTATTTACTTAATTATTTTCTAAAAAAGTAAAAGAAAAAAGTTTCAAAAAGAAGACAAGAACTTGAGTTTCTGTAAAATATTTTAAACCTGATATTTTCACAAAGTTTGACATTGTTAATTAAGAAAAATTAAGAAATATAAAACATTTTGAGAAAGGGATAATAGCATAATCATTTATTTTGTTTGATGTTTCAATTAAAAAAAAAAAGTGTTGCACAATTTTTCTTCTTCTTTTTATTAGTGCGGTAAAATTAAACTCCAGGTCTAACTGAAGATTAGAGCTCTATGAAACACAGTTGTAAGAAAAACATTGAAGAATATATTAATTTCTATTTGTTTAGATACAACTCTGTTGTCTCCTACACCACCACTGAAATCCCCATTTTCTCCCAGGAACTACAAATAAACAAAAACAAAAAAAATTTTAAAAAACGCAACAAAATAATTTATTGAACTCCTAGTTTTAATATTTAACTTAATCTTGTTTTTGTCTGAACAAGTGACTAACAACAGTGACCTAGAAATGTTAATCTGACAAGAATTGAAAAATGGTCATTTTCAATTATACTATCTGAACCAAAAAAACTAGCAGATTTCTTGCTTCAGGAAAAATTGAGAAAGTTGTGATAAAATCACTTTTAAGCCACCTGCAGTAACATGATGATGTCTTCCACATTATTGATCAGAAAAATGTTTAAAGGGTACCCTTGTAAAACGGGCATGCATGGAGGATCTCGTAAATATAAAACGACACAGTCTCTTTAAATAGTGTTTTATTTTGGTATTGTGAAGGACTCCGTTGCAAACAGTGCAAAGATTACTCTGTACGATTCCATTGATTCTGATGTTCTTCAATCCTACATTGAGTACAGCCTTGCTTCTCTTTTCTACTACGTAATGAAGGTAAAGAAATCATCGAGCATCTCTCCCCCATTAAATTCGAACCCCATTTTCTCATTCTCAATCCCAGGGTAGGGGTTTATCAGTTCTTATTTTACATTCATTACAGCCGAAAAAACGACGCTGAAAAACATAGATACAAATTTGCCACAAATAGAATTCAAGTCATTAAAACTAACCACGAGTACTGGGGAAGTATATTTATACCATAGGTAAAAGTTAACCTATATTTATGTATATTCCGGCAGAGAAGGGACAGGGGTTGGCTTTAAAATTGATTTGAAGTTTCTTCACTTTTTAACTCATGTTTGAAACCCTTTTTGAAGAATGTAAGATCGATTGTATATAAATCCCAACCCTACTGTAAAAATGTATTTATAACTTTGATCGAGGTCGGAACTCTTCGGGGGAGTGTCTTTAATTTTGATCCATTAGTCTCAATATTAGAGGTGGGCGCGTTTAAATTTAAAGTTTGTTTTCCCTGCAGGGTATGGTAACTACGAGATCTCGAAATTAATCTGTATGTTCTGCAAAAGATTGAGATCAAAACTTGATCTAGAGATTTTCAAGTTTCGACCTCTGGTTGTCTATATATAAATTTGGCTTGTCTGTCTGTTTGTTTGTATCCAATAAACGTCAAAACGGCTGAACCGATCGGGCCTACATTTTTTGTGGGACATCTAGGGACCCCAGGGAAGGTTTATGAATGTTCAAAATTTCAAATATTTGTCTCCATCAAAATTCGATCTTCATTAAATTTTTTAAAATTTTGAAAATCCACGAAATTTTTTGTGAAAATCCGCGAATTATTTTTGTTTTGTTTTACGATGTACACAAAGAGAACATGTTCACAATTAATTTAGAAGATGGGCGCGAAGCGCCCTCTAAGGCTAGTCTATATATAAATTTGGCTTGTCTGTTTGTTTGTATCCAATAAACGTCAAAACGGCTGAACCGATCGGGCCCAAATTTTTTGTGGGACCTCACGTGACCCCAGGGAAGGTTTATGAATGATCAAAATTTTAAAAATTTGTGTTTAAAAGTTTTTTTTTTTGAAAAATTTTGAAAATGCGCGAAAAAATATTATAAAATCTGCAAATTTTTTTGTTTTTGTTTTATACTGTACAAAGAGAAGATGCTCAGAGATAAAGCCACAATTAAAAGTTGAAATAAAAGATGGGCGCGAAGTGCCCTAAAAGCCTAGAAAGAAGGGCGCGAAGCGCCTTGAAATTTTAGTATTTATAAATATTAATATTGTCACATATGTTTTTCTAGGAGGGAGCTTGCAGTGAACAGAGCTCTAGGATGACTGCTATGGACAACTCAACCAAGAACGCTGGTACAAATCAAGATTATTATTTAATATTTCTCACAACGCTACCCCCTCCCCCCCCCCCCCACCACTATTTTGGGCTGATACTTTAAATGTGCTTTCCATAATGATTATTTCTTATTTTTTGGTCAATTTACTTTTCTTATTGTCACCAAAAGTAAGCTTCGTTTTCTATATAATTTCTGAAATGTAGGATATATATTATGTAATATCTTATTTGATTAAGAACGGCCATGCACCACCACCCACCAAATTAAAGAGCTATCTCTCTGTCAATCCTACTGGTGTCCGGGCTTGGTGAGATATCCCGTGTTGAGTCAAATTAGGCGACAGGCTCCACTCCTGGTGGTACCCTTCCGTCAAGTTGGTTGGTTGATTGATTGATTGATTGATTGATTGATTGATTGATTGATTGATTGATTGTGTCTAGGTGAGATGATTGACAAACTGCAGACTACCTTCAACAGAACCAGACAGGCCGTCATCACCGGAGAACTAATTGAGATCATTTCCGGAGCTGCTGCTCTCGACTAAGCCTGTTTTTCAAGACCCATCTTGGTTTCGGGCATCAGATGACATCCTTTTTTGCCCGAAACAGCTGAAATCTTCGGGCCACCAGAAATATAATTTAAACGTCTAATAGCTGAAAGTAATGAATGAAAAACAATTATTTAAAATTGTGCTTTTTTATCTTCTTTATTTCAGATTTTTTAGATACAATAAAATGGTCTGATATCTCTTAAAACAGAAAATAAAGGTTAAAAACTAAGAACAGATTTATACTTTTTTCTTAAATCGCTAGGATCGGGTATTCAAGCCGACTAAGCGTGTCCAAACACTAAGATCAATATTAATCAAATATTCCGTAAGCTCGATCTTTCTTTATCAATAATTAACCCTTCCGTTCTGTAACGTTAACCATCAAAGATGTGACCTATCCATGGAAATAATGAACCTTGATAACGCGCGATTTTACTTAACTGTTCAGTGTTCGTGATTTCTTTAGGATAGGAGTCGAATTGTGGAATTAATTTGAACATTTTGTAAATCATAAAAAGTTAATTAAAAAAACCTGAACATGTTTAATGTTCAGGTTTTTAACTTGCCGGTATAGTTCTGATTGATATTCCTGAGATTCGATTGTTTTTATTTGTTGAATATTTAGTTTCTGTTTCCAGCTGTTTATCTTTGATACAGGGTTTTTCTCAGGACTCCATCCCTCTATACTAAATAGTAAACATGGACACTGGTTTAAACTGAACAATTCTTGTTTCCTCTTCACAATTTGTTAAAATTAAATTTTAATTGAAACTACCTTTCTATGTAAAGGTCTAGGTCAATAGCAGTTTCTAGGTTTAGAGATCCCAACAGCTTCAAGGTTTCATTTCTAGGATACCTCGCTAAAACCTTGAATACAATTATAGTTAGAAAATTTCTTTAAGTTGGCCAACCTTGCGAGATAAATGCGTGCTTACTAGGGCCGGATTCGATAAACACCGGTCAAAATTTAGAAAATTATAACTGGCCAAATTATAGATTGTAAATGGCTCAAGGTGAAACTAAGGAATAATGCAAGTTGGCCAAAATCTTTAGTAAGCAATCTAAGTTGGAAAACCTTGGAAACCATGTAAGCTGACCAAAACCCTAGAAAACTTAAATTTACTAAATTAACATCATACTCGGAATATAATCGAACTTGGCAAAGCTTTTAATATGATTAATCTAAGCTGGCCAACCCTTTTTTGTGAAAAAAACTTAAAATGGTCCAAAATTTACTTCGTCAATGAAGCTAAATCTTAATATCAATTGAAAAAAGAGGTTTAGCTGCTATGCGATAAGTATTAACCTGATAAGCTTTTTCAATTATACAGATTAAGATAATTAATATTCAAATATACAGCAGGGAAGAGCTAGAAAATTAGATAGAAATGGCAAAAACTTAAGATATTGACAAACTTTAAAGATCAAGCTACAAATAATGGCATGAGGTAATGTATGTACTTTAAAATAAAGAAGATAACTATACCTCAAATCTTTTTGCTACAAATTGCCCGGGGAATTTTCTAAAAAAAAATAAGTTTAATTTGATGTTAAATGAATTTCACAGTAGGGTAACATACCCCCTCCCCTAGCTTTAAATCCCCCCCCCCTCAGATTGTAAAATGAAAAATCTAGGCTATAACCGTCAAAAACAGGAACAAATGATGAAAATTACATGTAATTGCATTTTATTACATATATTATACAAGGAAAGAACGTTATTCATATAAAGGTCTGAAAAATAGAAAATGGCGGACAATAAACCAAAATGGCTGAAATGAATAAAAATTGCTTAATAATTTTAAAATGGCTGACCCCTCGAGTTCTGCTGAATATTTAAGGTCTGCTAGTACTCTGCTGCATATCTCGTGAACTTCCTGATAAAAAATGAGTTTTCTTCATAAAACTTGATTATTTAATAATTAATATTATTATTATTTGATATTTTACCTTCTGTTGTTTATCTCTGAGTGTAGCTCTGGGGTCCCGCACTCATCAATTAAAGTCAATTTAATCTTAATATCTGGGAATCTTATATTATAACTGATTTTTGTCTAAATGTTTGGAGCACATTTAAGAAGTGAATTAGTTACAGAAATAATTATCCTTAATTGGCGACTTTTCACAATAGAAAAAAAGAAGGCAATTAGTCGAAGATTTCGGTAATCAGCTGACTCATCTATTTCTGGTTATCAGCTGGCCAATCTATTTCTGGTAATCAGCTGGTCCATCTATTTCGGTAATCAGCGGCTCATCTATTTCTGGTAATCAGCTGGCCCATCTATTTCGGTAATCAGCTGGCCCATCTATTTCGATAATCAGCTGGCCCATCTATTTCTGGTAATCAGCTGGACCATTTATTTCGGAAATCAGCTGGCCCATCTATTTCGGTAATCAGCTGGCCCATCTGTTTCTGTAATAAGCTGGTCCATCTATTTCGGTAATCAGCTGGCCCATATATATTTCGGTAATCAGCTTGGCCCACCTCTCTTTCGTAAGACCCCTTTATAGAGAAAAATTTATAGATTTGACTTTTCCTATGAATACTGCTTTTACATCTTGATTTTCTTCTAGAAGTTTCTCCAGTAGTTCCAGAGACATCTCCTTACTCCGTAGAATCTGGTTTCCATATCTATAAGTATTAAGCAGTAAGTCATTGGCATTTTTATTAATTTTCCATTTCAAATCCAAAAAATAAATGATAAAAGGTAGCATTTATAAGAAAGCTGAATGTGCGAAGCTCCAAGAAAATGTAATTTTATACTTAATTTTTCGAACAATTAGTTTTTCAACTAATTTTGTGTCTTTATTAAATCTGAAGGTTATTTTTAAGTTTATTTTTAAGAGGTAGTGGGAGGGTAATTTTGAAAAAAATCATACCCATTTTAGGTTACTGTCATTTTTATTGCCAGTCATAAACAAAGTATCTCATTCATTCTTGATCTAATAAATCTTGAAGAGAACCATTTTGAATCCTACATGCTGTTCTATAAATTACGCGGTAAGTCCCTTTAACCAATGAATAAATCCTACCTTCTACATGATTTCTCATAAGATATTGGATCAGAGCATATACTTGAACTATCCAGGAGACACTTTAATCATACTTCATTTATAACTTTATTCATTCATTCATTTATTTCTTTATTTATCATTTGTCTATTTACTAATTTATACATTCATCTCTGTATTTATTAAACTGTTTATTTATACAATCAATTATTCATTAATCTTTTTCTTTATTTATTAATTTATAAGTTCTTCTCTTTATTTTCATTTTTTTATTTTTACCATCAATCATTCAGTCATTTATTCATCCTTTCATCCTTCTATAAATTCATTTTTAACACTATCAATCATTCATTCATCTATTTATTTATACACAAATTTTTTATTTATTCATTTGTTTCTTTCTACTATCAATCAATCAATTATGTATTTATTTACTTATTTATTTTTATTTATTATATAATTAATTTTTTATTTATTTTTTTATTTACTCATTCAGTTATTTGAAAAGTTATTGATATTTTTCTTACAAATTTATTTTATGAATAATTAGGTGATAGTAGATGCAAATATTAAAGTTATTTTATTTATTTATTTAAAAACTAGTCTTTTCATTTGATTATTCCTTCCTTCAAATTCAACTGTTCAATTATTCACCAATGTTTCTAGGATTTGTTCTAAATTGTTATTTATGAAAAGGATTCCTGTTCTTGAAAATATGGAGTCCTACCAAACCCAGTCAAGATCCTAGTGTCGTAATCCTAAAATTTTAGAGGTTTTTATTATTTAAATTATAATCTGCCCTCAGGAAGCCTTTCATTTTTGAAGATTTTAAGAAAATAACTATTCAAATTTGGCGGATTTTCCAAATTTTCATCAATCTTAAAAAACGACAACAAAAAACATTGATACAACCACACCGATTTTATTTGGAGGAAAGATACAAGAATTTGAACATAAAACAATCTCACCTTAAGTAATTCTGGGTCTAGAACACAATTTAGCAGATTTGGAACAATATGTAAATTTAGATTTGTTTCTTGAGGATTAGTAATAGAAGGGGGCTCTCCGTGTTCAAAGAAATCATTTCTATACCGTTGAAAAGTAGAAGGGTTCACAATTTTGTTAGAAGTTCTACAATACTTGAGTTCATATTTTTAAAAGTTTTTTTGTTAAAGCATTTTGCGTGTTTTTTGTAATTGTGGCAAGTGCCAACTCCATTACTTAATTAACTGATTTTTGATCTTGGAAAGCAAGGAAATATTTATGCTTTATAATATGTATGTTTGATCATGTGGAATACACTTTTTTAACAACTAGCATTCATTTAAGCAAGAAAATACATTTTGATAAGGATAGTTTTCCTAAAAGCCGATATCTTGAAAGGTATCCTCACCATATTTCATATTTTTATTTAACCCTATCCCTGCTGGGGTACTTGAAAACCAGGATATGGTGGGGGGGGGGGTCAATTTGACCCCCCCTCTAAATCCCATGTTTTATGTCCAAATATGACAAATGATACATCATTAGAAAGCTCTTGTGCTCTACTTTTAGAATCTGCAAAAGAATTTGCAAATGGACAAGGTTGGGATTAAATAAACCTACTGGACAAGGTTGGGATTAAATAAATCTACTGGACAAGGTTGGGATTAAATAACCCTACTGGACAAGGTTGGGATTAAATAAATCTACTGGACAAGGTTGGGATTAAATAACCCTACTGGACAAGGTTGGGATTGGAGTTTTTTAAACTTTTCAGTGCCTTGAGTTAAGAAACTGCTGTAGAACAGGAAACCCAGATTTCTCTCGAGCAATGACAATAAGTTTGGCTCCAATTAAAACTGGAGCCTTTTTGTCTGTCAGATATCTGAAAATCATCATTCATTAGCATCCCTAGTGGTTTCAAATACAAAGACATAATTGACATTACAAGACGCTTGATGTCGGTGACCTGACTTAATCCTATCTTAGGATCGGGGATGAGCTGGGGGAACAGTCTTAACTTTGGGCTTTCTAATTGTCAACAGAGTGTTTAAAATCTGATGACTTGAATAGACCATTTTATAGTGAGGAGATCAAAATTATTACAGTGTTCTGAGAAATTACCATAGAAAGTACAGGATTTTCGAATTAAATAACATGGTTGACACATTTAGAGGTATAATGGGGGTTAATTCTATAATTATTAAAAAGGGACTGTCCTTAATACAATCTTGATGAGACAAAGCTTCTAAGGGTATTCTTGTGAATTAGGCATGCTACTCTATTTTTTATTTAATGAATATTTACTTGAAATTATGCCTTACAGTCCCTTTAATCAGGAATCACAACATTCCTGTGATTTGTGTTCCTCATCGTAGCATCAGTCAGATGAGAGCATGTACTTTGTAACTAGTAGCTCTAAACCTTCTCAGCTTTCCTCTGACTGGTGCTAGGATGAGTAGATATATATATTTATAAGATTGTGTTCTGTTTACCTGACTGGTCCAATAGCCTCTTTCAGAATAATTTCAGGTTTAACAAGATCTTCCAGGTTCTCCTTGTCAGTCTCTCTTATCAGGTTCATCTTCATTTTGTCTATCCGCAGGATTACAAAAATAAATTGAGCGCAATTTCATTTTACTTTTCAGAATTATGGACGCTTGTTGGCATTTAGCCATCTTATCAGGATAGATTTTCTTAAACTTACAATGTCAGATATTCATTAATCTGGTTTCACGACCTATTGAACAAGTTTGATTATACATTTGGCATTTTGATGTTCTTTATGAAACATGAATGGAATATTCCCCAATTAAGCTTATTAATATTTTTAATTTTCCCTACACTTACCACCTACCAACACAAGTGCTGTTGTGCATGATGTGCAACGTACTTTGTCCTGCACGCACCCTGGCACTTCAAGAATCTCAGAGTGTTTTTAGAAGTGGGAAATATTTTACAACTCTATTAAAATAATATTCTACACTTTTGTGTTCTTTTATGAAAATTCGAAAACAATAGTTGTAAAATATTTGTAATTTTTCCTAAAATTGCATCTTCAGAAATTCTTGATTTGATCAGTTCTTTATTTGGTTTTGGTCTCTTCGGTCCATTCTTTGTCTCCGTGTTCTCTAAGGAGTTTTCAAGCTTCTCAGGCATCTTGCTCCCTTCTGTAATATCTGGTTCTGAACTATATATATTTGTGTTGGTCACTACAGATTCCAGATTTTCACTCGAATGTGGAGGATCAAGAACCTTGGCAGTTTTTGGTGTAAAACTTAAATGTGTTTTATCACTGGAAGGTTCAATTGTTTTCTCACTCTTGGTGTGCAAATGTTTTTTATCAACCTTGGATGTTTCCTTGTTCTCATCTTTCTTTTTTGCATCAATTTTGTGTGATTGTGAGTTTTGACTTTCAGGAGATTCAGGATCACTTGGTGAGGTTAAATTTTGTTTCTCTGATGAAGGTCTGTTAAATACAACAATTAGGAGATAAGCTGCTAGGGATAAAACTCCAAGCACTCCAATTCTCTTCAGAAATCTCCTAAAAAAGAGAAAATTAGTCATCCCAAGATGTTCAGGGTTCGTTACATTTTCATCTATAATCTTTAAGAGACTGTAGATGGTATTTGTAAGATCATCAATGACATAGATATCCTTTTTTTATAGTTTTAGGCTTTTTAATGTTACAGTGAACTGTACACCCCATGCCGGTGTACACTTTTGAGTTACCCAGTATTCAATTTTTAGCTAAAATAATAAGAATATCGTATGATTGGGTATGCTTTACTTTAATTGGAGGGTCACATGAAATTACAAAATATAATCTTGCCTTCTCAGGAAAAAGGCTCCCATCTCTGCAAGATACGTTCAACCATTGAACTTTTTCATTGCTCAACGGTTTATGTTCTGAAAAGAGTTTTTAATTGCGTTTTTTCTACACAATTCACTAACCTTTTACCTCACTATAGTAAAATTACCTTAGAAAAACATTATTTTCTTTCTTAGTAAAACATTAAGGTTTTTTTCTCAAAGGTCAAATTTGTTGATTTTATAGATGATATTTTTCTTTCATTGATGTGGGGGAGGGGAAGATTTTTTTTCTTTTTTTGGAGGGGGGGGGGGTAAATAAACAAAATTGTGGTTCAGGTGTCTTAAGTGCTTGAAAAAAAATTTATCAAATAAGATTGTCAATTTTTTATTCCTTTAATTCTAGTTGCATACTTTTCCTACTTCCCCCTGTACACTTTATCGTTGCACCTCCTGTACACTTTTCCTACTTCCCCTTGTACATTTTATCGCTGCACCCCCTGTACAATGTTCCTGCTTCCCCAGTACACTTTATCGTTGCACCTCCTGTACACTTTCCTACTTCCCCCTGTACACTTTTCTTGCTTCCCCTTGTACACCTTATCGTTGCACCTCCTGTNTTTTTTTCAAAATTAGGGGCAAAAAATTATTTTGGGATCGAGAAAATCAGCTTTTTTGGGAATTATATTGCCCCCTGGCTACCCCCTGTACACTTTACCTGCCTCCCCATGTACACTTTATCGTTGCACCTCCTGTACAATGTTCCTGCCTCCCCCTGTACACTTTATCGTTGCACCCCCTGTATACTTTTCCTGCTTCCCCCTGCATATCATCTTTCATATGTTTAAGAAGTTGGGGGGGTGTACTACAGATGTACATATAAGTGCATAAGGGGAGGGGGTAATACAAGTATTTTTGTATGATTTATATAATAAAAAGGCAAAAATTTGTATTTTTTCTTAATGAAGAATTATTTTGGTTTAGTGCGGAATATTTACGGGTCACCCTGTCTCCAATGTATTCGTATTTCCGGCTTTGGCCTGAGCTAAGATATTTTAGTTGCATACAATGTTTCCTATACAATATACATTAGCAAGGAATATTATATTTAGAAATTAGAAGGGGAAGGGGGGGGGTCTCAAGTTTTAAACTTCTTGATCTTGGTTAAATTTATAGAAATATAAAAGTAAAGGTTTAGTTTCTCCGTTAGAAACAGAATGTGACTTTAGAACTTTCTGTTTCCTTATATTCATGATTCCTTGCACCTATATACATCCTGTTTCCTTATATTCATGATTCCTTGCAATTATATACTTTCTGTTTCCAATATTCATGATTCCTTGCAACTATAACTTTCTGTTTCCATATATTCATGATTCCTTGCACCTTTATACTTCCTGTTTCCTAATATTCATGATTCCTTGCAACTATATACATCCTGTTTCCTTATATTCATGATTCCTTGCACCTATATACTTCCTGTGTCCTTATATTCATCATTCCTTCCACCTATATACATCCTGTTTCTTTATATTCATGATTCCTTGCAACTATATAATTCCTGTTTCCTAATATTCATGATTTCTTGCAACTATATACATCCTGTTTCCTTATATTCATGATTCCTTGCGCCTATATAAACCCTGTTTCTTTATATTCATGATTCCTTGCAACTATATAATTCCTGTTTCCTAATATTCATGATTCTTTGCAATTATATACTTCCTGTTTCCTTATATTCAAGATTCCTTGCAATTATATACTTCCTGTTTCCATATATTCATGATTCCTTGCAATTATATACTTTCTGTTTCCTTATATTCATGATTCCTTGCAATTATATACTTTCTGTTTCCTTATATTCATGATTCCTTGCACCTATATACATCCTGTTTCCTTATATTCATGATTCTTTGCACCTATATACAGCCTGTTTCCTTATATTCATGATTCCTTGCACCTATATACATCCTGTTTCCTTATATTCATGATTCCTTGCACCTATATACTTCCTGTTTCCTTATATTCATGATTCCTTGCACCTACATACATCCTGTTTCCTTATATTCATGATTCCTTGCACCTATATACTTCCTGTTTCCTTATATTCATGATTCCTTGCAACTATATACTTCCTGTTTCCTTATATTCATGATTGCAACTAGAAACTTTTTCTTTCTTTGCTAAATCATTTATTAAGCCATTTAAAGACCAAATTCAAGGCAGAATACTTTCTATAAACTTTGAAGGGTTTCAAGTCGTCTTTACAGTCTCATCCTTAAGGGGTTAACCTGTAATTATAAAATTTTATAAACTAGTTTTATTCTTTTCTGAAATATTGGTTTCACTCCACACATACATACTCCAGACAGTATCTATAGGTTAACGTTGGTTCCAGCAGACGAAACCATTGACTGCTAAATGCAACTTCATGGTCATGCAACTCTATGGACATGCAACTTTATGGTCATGCAACTCTATGGACATGCAACTTTATGGTCATGCAACTCTATGGACATGCAACTCTATGGACATGCAACTCTATGGACATGCAACTTTATGGTCATGCAACTCTATGGACATGCATCTTTATGGTCATGCAACTCTATGAACATGCAACTCTATGGACATGCAACTTTATGGACATGCAACTTTATGGTCATGCAACTCTATGGACATGCAACTCTATGGACATGCAACTCTATGAACATGTAAGTCTGTGGACATGTAACTCTATGGACATGCAACTCTATAGACATGCAACTCTATGGACATGCAACTCTATGGACATGCAACTCTATGGACATGCAACTTTATGGACATGCAACTTTATGGTCATGCAACTCTATGGACATGTTACTCTAAGGACATGCAACTTTATGGTCATGCAACTCGACATTTAAGTGAAAAACCATTTTAAAAATTAAATTTTCTATTTAGAGGAGATCCTTGGCTTATTACATCACTAAGAAGGGTTCCAAGAGGAACTAATGGCGGAATATCTATTCCAGGTTTAAAAATACAAGTTTTACTCTTAATCAGTAGCACAATTTTTATTTGTGGTTTTAAACAAAACGACATTTGTATTTGTTGTGATCAAAAGTAATACCATCTGTCCAAACTGCACAGTGCATAATTACTCTGTATTCTGTGTATTTGACTATTTAGTACCAGGAGTGGAGTCGTCTTTTTATTACATAGTTTTATAGGTCGCACTGTATGATTTGGTTTCGAGTAGTTATTCACTTAAATCCACCTTTAGGCTTGTTGTTGAGCTTTGTGGGCGGGCTAGTCATAGGTGTGGCATATTGGCTCGGGGTCATCTGTACATCACTAGGTAAAATACGATTAATTGATTTTTATTTTAAAAATATTAGAATTGGTAAATAAAATGGTTTCAAGATGTTGGTTGACAATTTAAAACAACTTGAATATGAGGGTTCCTTTCTTCATTTTGTTAAGTACAATATTCATGAAATGTTGCATATGTGCATTATATGCGTTTGTTTTAAGTAAAATAAAATAGGAGAAAATTGTTTTCTCCCCACTTTTCCCCCTTTTTCAATATTTTTAATAGATTCTTCACAAAAAAGTCTGATTCGAAGGCAAGCGACTGTAGGGCTATGTTCTAACTTTTTATAACTTTTTCGTTAACGGTTAGTCCCAACCGTTAAAAAATAATATTTTCAGTTAGCCGTTAATTTTAAAGGTAAGAACGGAACAACGACATTTTCCGTTTTTTAAGTACCGTTAGTTAACAATTTAAATTACTAACGGTGTTAATGGAAAAAATCCAAAAACAGCTCCAGCCGTTAACAGTATAATACATTATAAATTGCGCGAAGTGCTAAAAAGTTTGTTAACTGTTTAAGAAATCGTCAACGGTAATTACAGTATTAACGGTTTAAGAAATCGTTAACGGCACAACTGTTCAGAAATCGTTATTGATTTATTACAGTATTAACGGTTTAAAAAATCGTCAACAGCATAGCCGTTAACGGTTAATTACAGTATTAACGGTTCCTGAAATCATTAACGGTCTTTTGTAGTATTAAGAGCGTAAAACAAATAAAAATTCAAGGTTTTACAAATTCTAAAATTGTTTATACTGAAAATTTGCTTTACTTATTTTATGCCTAATTATTCCCCTATGAGGCTTGATTAAAGAAGAGTAAATAACAAAAAATATTTCAAAGTTTTTAAATGTGGGAAGTTTTTAAATGTTAATAATCCTATGTGCAAGTTTTACTATAATTGCATGTTGCTCAAGACAACGCATTGTGAACTCATTTTATTTTCAACTTAAATTGCCTGTCTTTTCTACATTCTCTACATTTTTCTTTTAACAGTCAATGCTTAAAAGATGAAATTATTTTCGAACTTTCGAAAACGGAACTTTGCCCATCCCTACAAGCGAGGTGTTTTTTTTGGCAAAATTTAAAACATTTGTCTTCTTGGATATCAGGCATAAGTATGAGATGCTTTACAGGTACACACACATAAAGTTCAATTACCTTGCATGTACTTTACTTTATCTCTCCTTCAAACAAAACTAGCAGAAACAAAGTATTATTTCTTAAATTTTATTATACTGTTATGTTAGTAATAATTAGTATTTAAACTAGAGATAGTAAAAGACATTTTTGAAAATGAAAAACTCAACTTAAACTTAAATTCTATGAGATGAAAATAAGGACAGAGGTCCAGAAAACCAGAAAATAATTATGACTTGTAAAAGTTTCCGTTTTGAAAATAAGTAGGAGTAGAATTGTAATCTAGATAATAAAGCTCTTTGTTCATTTATATGTTTGATATGGCTGGCCCAACGGCTGAATCAAATGGGCTGAATTTTAATTACCTCCTATGAATTTCTACATGAACCGTACAGAGTGATCCTTGATTCTCTTGGATTTAGTTTTCAATGTGAATGGTTGCTTAGACGTACATACATCCCTTCAATACGCGCATACATCCCTTTGATATGCACATACATCCCGTCAATATGTCCATACATCTCTATAATACGCGCACGCTGAAATATGCAGATTGCACGTCCAATTTTTTATTAAAAATCTTTACTCTTGGTTAAATTTAAAAAAAACCTTGCCATCCCTTCACACCAAACTTTTCCCATATTTTGTCGTTTAGCGACTCATGTTCTGTTCACTTCTCATTTACTAAATTCTTCTCTTTCAACATTTCATTTCCTTTCTCTTTAAATATCATTTCCCTTCCTTCTAATAATTTTCTTTCCCTTCCTTCTTCCCTCATAATTTCCGTTCCTTCCTTCTCATGCAGAGTTTCCTTTCCCTTCCCTCTAATAATTTTCATTGGGTTCCTTCTTTCACTACCTTCCTCCCTCATAATTTTCCTTCCTTCCTTCTCATACAGAATTTCCTTTCCCTTCCTTCTAATAATTTTCTTCCACTTCCTTCTTCCCTCATAATTTCCGTTCCTTCCTTCTCATACAGAGTTTCCTTTCCCTTGCCTCTTATCACTTCCTTTCCCTTCCTTCTCCTATTATCATTTATTTCCCCTGCTTTGCATTTTTTTGTTTTCATTTTTCCTTCTGTCTCTGTCTCTCAATATATGTACTCCCCTTTCCTCATCAATTCATTCTATGTTTTCATTTAACCTTTCTCCTTTTATTTCCTTTTTTCATTCTTGAAAGATTTTTAATATTTATAGAAGTATATTGTCATCTTATTTTGTTTAGCTAAGCACTAGGCAACTAGGCATATCAGACATCAGGGCTTTGACTGCAGTTCACTCTAAACACACAGTTTATATATACACTACTTCCTTTCATTACATCGCACTATGGAAAGTTGATAATGAAGGAGTAAACAACCTAATAGTAATAGTTTTGGTTACATAAAAGTGTTCTGCAGATTAAACTATACTTTGTTTATACTCCTCCCAGATCAAGTGGCTCTTATCATTATTTCTTGGTTCAAATCAAATTTTATTTCTTGTCCTTTACAAATGAATCTTACTCACAGTGCAAGTTCCAAAGGTTTGCAACTTGCAAGCTCTTATGCTGAAATCAAAGAAATTTTTCCAATAACTTGTTAAAATAAAATGATAAAAGCAAATGCTTAAGAGTTCTAAAATGTACATCTCTATGGCTTCAAAAAAGTAAAAATATCAAAGGCCAAGGCATTGTGATACTTGAAAATCGAGCAAGAGATATAAGGTGATGCAAATTTTCATTTATTTTTATTTGAATATATATTCTCTATTGTTCCAGTAATGGAATATATTATGGTGGGAAACATAAAGCTGGTTTAGGAAGACGACTGTGAGACTCAAGTGATGATTTTAATTAGTTAAACTGGTAAAGCTATAATCAACTGCGTTAGGATTCCAAAGTTTTGTAGGTTCTGCATAACGTGTAAAAATAAGAATTTTTTTTAGCTCAAGGCACAATTTTCAGAAGTTAAAATGAAACTGAAATTATAAAAACCCATCTGCCTTGAATGAATGATAAAAGACGCAAACCCTTCCAAAGCTGAAATAGAAAGAGCTTGAGATAAACCTGGAAACCAAATGGAGCAGCAAAACAAAACAGTTAAATAACTTAGATAAGAAAAGAGCTAAAATTGGAGGCAGGTTTGATATAGCAGCTACATAGTTAGTAGCTTTATTAAACATCAAAAGAAGCAGCTTTTTAAAAAGCTCCGCTATGGTTGGAGGCGGAAGAAGCTCCGCCCTTCTCTCCCTGGTTTCCCTGGTATTTGTAATCTGTTCCCTATTCGCCTTCGTCGGGAAAAATCTTGTAATCGGCGGCTGGACGGCAGATACTTCACAGATATCACCACTCAGGTTGTTCATATTTTTTTTATAAATTATACAACTATTTTACTTTCGAGGAAGGGGGGGGGGGGTTGTGCACAATTCATTCTTTAAAGGTTTCAAAATGTAATATTTTTTAGAATTACACTGAAACTTTTAAACTTTTGAAATTACATAACTTTTTGCATCTCTTTTCTATTTTTGTTTCTGGCCCCTAACCCTGCACTTGCTGGGAATCACATAAAACAAAAAACTAATTATTTGAATTTCTAGTTGAATTTTACAGTTCTACTATAAATAGTTATAAAAAATTGTTGATTTCAATCTTAAGCTATGTGGGAGATTACATTGGTTTCCTTAATCTTCACGTTTATATGGGTTATTGGAATTATTATTGAAAATATCTGTACTTGTAGCTGGATGATGCAGTAATTATTATAATTTTCTGTACTTTAGCTGAATGATGCAGTAATCATTATAATTTTCTGTTTATTTAGCTGGGAGATTGCAATAACCAATTTATTTTTATGTATATTTAGCTGAGAGATTGCAATAATCATTATAATTTTCTGTATATTTTCTTGGGTGATTGCTAATTATAATTATAATAATATAATAATCATTATAATTTTCCGTATGTTCAGATGGGTGATTGCAACAGCTGTATCGGTTATTGTTGTAACCTACGGACACAGCAGACGTTCATTATCAACGTCGGGAGCTCTTCTGGCCCTTTTAGGATTGTAAATTAATTTATGAATTCAATCAAAAAAAATTTGTATTGCAGAATAAAAATGCTGTTCTTTGTTTTATATTGCATGATTATTCGAAATTTTGTTGAAATATTTCTAAAAATTAATTTATCTTAAATTAGTTGGGTTTTGCTTGACCCTGGCTCATTACAGTTTTTTCTTCTCTCTTCTTGCATTCTTCTTGACATCAAGCAGGGTAAGTTTACCTCCACTTAGTTAAGTTGACCTCCAGCAGGGTAAATTGACCGTAAGCAGGGTAAATTGTCTTTAAGCAGGGTAAGTTGTTGACCTCCAGCAGGGTAATTGGACCTCCAGTAAGGTAAATTGACCTTAAGCAGGGTGAGTTGACCTCAAACCGGGTAAGTTGACCTCAAACAGAATAGGTTGACATCTAGTATTATTGGTTTACCTCAAGTAAGATGATTTGACCTCGAGTAGAAATAGTTTGCTTTCTATTTAATTTGTTGGCCTGAAGAGGGTATCTTGAGCTCCACCTAAAATTGCAAACCACCGCTTCAGTTTACTGACATTTGCTTCAGGTTATTGACCTTCACTTCAGTTTATTGACCTTTGCTTCAGTTTATTGACCTTCGCTTCAGTTTATTAACCTTCCCTTTAGTTTATTAACCTTCGCTTCAGTTTATTAACGTCCATTTTATTTTATTGACCTCTGTTTTTTTATTAATGATTTTATATTTTGATCTAAAATAAATTAATCTGACCTCAATTGACATTCTATAACCCTTAAATATTAGAGGCTGACCTCCTGTAAAAAGGTTTACCTCTATGAAGGTGTGTTGAAATGACCTTTAGTTACCTCTAGGAAAGAAGTGTTGATCCTAAATAAAATAAATTAGCGGATTTGATTTGGTTTTCAATAACTATTCAAATTAAACTTAGAAAAATACTTGTTCAGAGGGTAACCATTGAATGTTTAGGCGACCAAATACCGCCAAGATTTAAAGAAGAAATTTGAAGATGATTTTAAAGAAGGTGGCCAAAGAAACTGGCTGCAGGTGAAATTTAATCCATTTCTGCAGAGCTGGAAACTCTTAATTCCGTTTGCTTAATCTCTATATCCATTGTAGGCACTTTTAATTTTGTGCTTAATCCTCTCTTTTGGATATACATGTTGGGTTCCGAATGATGAGAGTTCTCTTGTTGGTTACGTGCAAAATTTCGCGGTTTCTGATTGGCTGTTAAGTTTCTGGAAACGACTTTCTGATTGGTTGAATTTTAAACACTTTTCTGTATATCAAATAAAGATTAAATTAATCTGCAGATTAACAATCTCGATATCCACAATACAAGAGTTTCCAGCTCAATATATACGTCGAAAAATTATCGATAGTGATCTCTACTAATCTTACTTGATTTAAAAAAAATAATATTTAGCTTACAACTGGATTTTCGACCATTCCTGGAAAATGTCGTTGTCAAAAGTAACTCTCAGATCATAAAAAATAAAAAAAATATTTTGGTATATCAATTATATACGAAATGCTTCGAAAAATTACCGATGATTATAGGTTGTAATATCGGAATGATTTGTTTGGAATTAAATTGATTTTTTTACGATTCGAATCGTATATTGCAACTTTCTGAATTTGTATGGCCACGTTACGTTCTTTAGTATGAGTCGATTTTAACAATTTTCTTTAGACGCAATAGATATAAGTAGCGATCACCATCGATAATTTTTCGACGTAAGGCTACCCCCTTTAATTTTTTGCGAATACTCCGTTTAATTCATAAAATAATCAATTTTTCTGAAGGTTTTGTGTAATGGAGGAATGGCAACTGAATTAGCACTCTTGTATCTACTAGACGTGGGATCCTCAGGAAACCCCAGTCATTTATTTAAATATATTCGTTTAATCTTGTTGAAGAAAAAACCACAATCTTAATCGTAGAAGAAACCACAGTAGGGAAAATGTAGTGTCGGGCAAATGTATTTCGGGCTAATGTCATATCGGGCAATTTTAACTCGACCTTTTGTATCCACTCCAGGGCAGGGGTGTATGTTTTATTGAAAAATTATTCCCTCCCCCGCCTCTGTTTGAAAATTCGTTTTTGTTCCCCAAATGGGAGGTGTTTATTGAGGTGTAGGAGGCCTTATTTGAAGTAAAAAAATACTTTCTTATTTTAAGTAACAACTTGTCTTATTTGAAGTTGAAATCACAGTCTTTTTTAAAGTAAAAACCACCATTTTCTTTGAAGAAAAAACCAGAGTCTTATTCATAGTAGAAACCATTTTAAGTGAAAGCACAGTCTTATTTAGAAGAAACCACAGCCCTATTTTAAGTGTAAAATCCACATTCTTATTCAAAGTAGAAACCACATTCATGTTTGAAGTTTAAATGTGACTTAGGACCCACCCGATATGCTTAAAGCAAAAAACTTTTGATCTAATACTGAGGGTTGGTTTAGATTTGCCTGTAGACTTCAGGCACAGTTATCGAGCTTCCTGGCTAGGTTGGTGAAACACTTGGGATTTAATATTTTATAAATATTTTGATTTAATAATTTAAAAATCTGACAAAAATAAAAAGGGTAATAAAAAAAATTATTTATCTTTTTTGTAAGATAGAACAGACCAAAAAGAAATTCAGAGATAATCATCTAGATGTTTGTTTGCGTTTCTATGTCTTCCAAAAAAGAAATATTTTTTGTTTACATAAGCAAAAACTTATGTAAAAAATGGATAATTTAAATAAATAAACATTGAAGAATGTGAAACTGTAAAATCTAGGTATTGGAGTACTCGGTGCTCTCTCCTGCTGCAACGGGGACACGTGGGCTAGTGAGCTTGGAAGTGTACTCTCAAGGTTCCCGCCATTTTGTTTATTTTGAAGAAAACAATGTCTAATAATAATTTTTTTAATTGCTCAGTAACTATTGATGATGAGTGATGACATAACGGTATGGTGGACATATTATAGATTAAAAATGCAATTTTTTATTGCTCGAGTAACTATTGATGATGAGTGATGACATAACGGTATGGTGGACATATTATAGATTAAAAATGCAATTTTTTATCACCATGGAACCTTATTTACTTAAGAGAGTTTATATTGGAGATATCATGGTTTTCAATCTGAAAATTGATAAAGGGCTTGAGTCTTTGCCACAAAATCAATATTCTAATGTCTATATCTTTGTAACCTGAGAGTGTAAACCTTTTACATTTCAAACTTAGATTATTTGAGACAACAGAATTCATAGTTTGAAATATCTCAGGTTACATTAAGGTTCTCAGATATTGAGATTAGAAAATCAGAGTTTGTGACAATTCCTCAGGCTGTTCTATATTTCTCAATTCCTTTTAGGCTGTTCTATAAAACGACTCGTTTTAGTTACAATATGTCATGTTGAATTTTAACATTTTATAATTTCCAGCGATTCTCCATTAAAAGATTTACAACGGTGCCATTAAAACCTCTTTCAGATTAATAATGTGAAAATTGTGTCGTTTTCTAACTTGAAATGTGTTTAATTCTTACAACTTTCTCCAACTTTCCGTGGCAAGAAATCCGTAAGTTTCTGTCACAACGAAACTACGAAACTATTTTTAACTTTATCAATTTATTTATTTATAAATTTTTTACGAAACTATATTTGAACTAATTTGTTCAATAGTAATCATGGATATCTCATTCAGAGATTTGAATCGGACAATAGACATGCAACTCTATGGACATGCAGCTCTATGGACATGCAATTTTATGGTCATGCAACTTTATGGTCATGCAACTCTATGGACATGCAACTTTATGGTCATGCAACTCTATGGACATGCAACTTTATGGTCACGCAACTCTATGGACATGCAACTCTATGGACATGCAACTCTATGGACATGCAACTTTCATGGTCATGCAACTCTATGGACATGCAACTTTATGGTCATGCAACTCTATGGACATGCAACTTTATGGTCATGCAACTCTATGGACATGCAACTCTATGGACATGCAACTCTATGGACATGCAACTTTATGGTCATGCAACTCTATGGACATGCATCTTTATGGTCATGCAACTCTATGAACATGCAACTCTATGGACATGCAACTTTATGGACATGCAACTTTATGGTCATGCAACTCTATGGACATGCAACTCTATGGACATGCAACTCTATGAACATGTAAGTCTGTGGACATGTAACTCTATGGACATGCAACTCTATAGACATGCAACTCTATGGACATGCAACTCTATGGACATGCAACTCTATGGACATGCAACTTTATGGACATGCAACTTTATGGTCATGCAACTCTATGGACATGTTACTCTAAGGACATGCAACTTTATGGTCATGCAACTCGACATTTAAGTGAAAAACCATTTTAAAAATTAAATTTTCTATTTAGAGGAGATCCTTGGCTTATTACATCACTAAGAAGGGTTCCAAGAGGAACTAATGGCGGAATATCTATTCCAGGTTTAAAAATACAAGTTTTACTCTTAATCAGTAGCACAATTTTTATTTGTGGTTTTAAACAAAACGACATTTGTATTTGTTGTGATCAAAAGTAATACCATCTGTCCAAACTGCACAGTGCATAATTACTCTGTATTCTGTGTATTTGACTATTTAGTACCAGGAGTGGAGTCGTCTTTTTATTACATAGTTTTATAGGTCGCACTGTATGATTTGGTTTCGAGTAGTTATTCACTTAAATCCACCTTTAGGCTTGTTGTTGAGCTTTGTGGGCGGGCTAGTCATAGGTGTGGCATATTGGCTCGGGGTCATCTGTACATCACTAGGTAAAATACGATTAATTGATTTTTATTTTAAAAATATTAGAATTGGTAAATAAAATGGTTTCAAGATGTTGGTTGACAATTTAAAACAACTTGAATATGAGGGTTCCTTTCTTCATTTTGTTAAGTACAATATTCATGAAATGTTGCATATGTGCATTATATGCGTTTGTTTTAAGTAAAATAAAATAGGAGAAAATTGTTTTCTCCCCACTTTTCCCCCTTTTTCAATATTTTTAATAGATTCTTCACAAAAAAGTCTGATTCGAAGGCAAGCGACTGTAGGGCTATGTTCTAACTTTTTATAACTTTTTCGTTAACGGTTAGTCCCAACCGTTAAAAAATAATATTTTCAGTTAGCCGTTAATTTTAAAGGTAAGAACGGAACAACGACATTTTCCGTTTTTTAAGTACCGTTAGTTAACAATTTAAATTACTAACGGTGTTAATGGAAAAAATCCAAAAACAGCTCCAGCCGTTAACAGTATAATACATTATAAATTGCGCGAAGTGCTAAAAAGTTTGTTAACTGTTTAAGAAATCGTCAACGGTAATTACAGTATTAACGGTTTAAGAAATCGTTAACGGCACAACTGTTCAGAAATCGTTATTGATTTATTACAGTATTAACGGTTTAAAAAATCGTCAACAGCATAGCCGTTAACGGTTAATTACAGTATTAACGGTTCCTGAAATCATTAACGGTCTTTTGTAGTATTAAGAGCGTAAAACAAATAAAAATTCAAGGTTTTACAAATTCTAAAATTGTTTATACTGAAAATTTGCTTTACTTATTTTATGCCTAATTATTCCCCTATGAGGCTTGATTAAAGAAGAGTAAATAACAAAAAATATTTCAAAGTTTTTAAATGTGGGAAGTTTTTAAATGTTAATAATCCTATGTGCAAGTTTTACTATAATTGCATGTTGCTCAAGACAACGCATTGTGAACTCATTTTATTTTCAACTTAAATTGCCTGTCTTTTCTACATTCTCTACATTTTTCTTTTAACAGTCAATGCTTAAAAGATGAAATTATTTTCGAACTTTCGAAAACGGAACTTTGCCCATCCCTACAAGCGAGGTGTTTTTTTTGGCAAAATTTAAAACATTTGTCTTCTTGGATATCAGGCATAAGTATGAGATGCTTTACAGGTACACACACATAAAGTTCAATTACCTTGCATGTACTTTACTTTATCTCTCCTTCAAACAAAACTAGCAGAAACAAAGTATTATTTCTTAAATTTTATTATACTGTTATGTTAGTAATAATTAGTATTTAAACTAGAGATAGTAAAAGACATTTTTGAAAATGAAAAACTCAACTTAAACTTAAATTCTATGAGATGAAAATAAGGACAGAGGTCCAGAAAACCAGAAAATAATTATGACTTGTAAAAGTTTCCGTTTTGAAAATAAGTAGGAGTAGAATTGTAATCTAGATAATAAAGTTCTTTGTTCATTTATATGTTTGATATGGCTGGCCCAACGGCTGAATCAAATGGGCTGAATTTTAATTAGGAAACTCATGGATACCCTTGGGGATGACATAATCTAAGTAGATTATAAGTTTTTTGTTTTAATTCGATTTTTAACGCAACGCCTGGCACATCAGCTAGTTTGAAATAAAAAGAAAGATTACAAAAAGGCGGTTCAATGAAAAAAGTAGATTAAATCCAAATAAAAAAAATGGTCTTTTAGAACCTCCAAACTCAAGCCTTCGTGGCTTGGCATTTAAAAATAATTGTTTTACTTGCTTTGAGGGGAAGGGGGTCTACGCCTTCCCCCTTTACAGGTCTAGGGTGGGGCACTGTCCCCTTGCCCCTTCCTGTATACGCCATTGAGGGAAGGTTAAGGTTTTTCCGATCACTTTTCACCTATTTTCCCATATTTTATCATATTTTCCTTCATATTTTCTTAATTCATAAATTTATTTTTCATGGAAAAAAAAACAAAAAAAACATTTTGCACACAGGCCTCAATTAGATTGTATTTGTGTAAAAAAAAATAATGAACAAACTAAAAAACTGACTTATTGATAAAAAAGCCTAACGCCACCATCTCTAGTCTAGACCAATGTTAAGGTGGAGATCTGGCCCGTGCTCCTGATCAATGGAAAATTATTCTAGTTGGAGGCATCGGAGGCCTACTGGGGAGCATCATAGATTCACTCTTAGGTATTTATTAATCATATCGGAGGCATCGGAGGCCTTCATGGGAGCATAATTGATACCCTGTTAGATATAAATTATTCTTGTCGGAGGTATCGGAGGCACCCTGGGGAGCATCATGGACTCCCCACTAGGTGTTCATTGATCATATCGGAGATATCGGGGGCCCTTGGGAGCATCTTTGATTTCCGCCTAGGTTATAATTAATCATGGCGGTGGTTTCAGAGGCCTTCTTTGAAGCATAGATTCTCTGTTAGGGATAATTCTTCTTGTGGGAGGTATCGGAGGCCTATTCGGGAGCATCATAGATTCCCTGTTAGGGATAATTCTTGTCGGAGGTATCGGAGGCCTACTTGGGAGCTTCATAGATTCCCTGTTAAGGATAAATTCTTGTCGGAGGTATCGGAGGCCTACTTGAGGGTATCATAGATTCCCTCCTAGGTTCTCAATTGTACAAGTGTACAAGTGTACAAGTGTACAAGTGTACAAGTGTACAAGTGTACAAGTGTAGACGTGTAGACGTGTAGACGTGTAGACGTGTAGACGTATAGACGTATAGACGTATAGACGTGTAGACGTGTAGACGTGTAGACGTGTAGACGTGTAGAAGTGTAGAAGTGTAGAAGTGTAGAAGTGTAGAATTGTAGAAGTGTAGACCTGTAGACCTGTAGACCTGTAGACCTGTAGACCTGTAGAAGTGTAGAAGTGGCATGTCCTATTCACAACGGTGACCTTTAAAAATTAATTATTTTCTATCGCGTTTTCTCTATAAAAGTGACCTGCAGAATTATGCTATGAAAAAATTACGGAAAATCACAAATTTAAACACTTTGATAGAAAAACGACAATTATCTTCCTCATTTAAAAAAAATCAAAATAGATGAAAATTGTTTAATAACTGTAGAGGAACCAAAAATTGAAATGAAGAGTATTAAATTTGTATGATTAAGGTGCAAGTTTGCAATTCTCCGGGATAGATGAAAAGACTGGAAGGGTGGTGGAGGTAGCCAGAGAAGGTGTTACAAAAGTATCAGGTCAGTTCCAGGATTCAAGTATTTAATAGATCATTACACACTCAGTCATTAAACCACATTTTCACATTGAAAGTATTTTAATGAACAACTGATGTAATGTATAAATGTATAAATGTATTAATGAATGTAAATGAATGAAAAGTAAATTAATTTAAGGATGAATGTGTAAATGAATAGATGTGTGAGAAAAGTTACAAATGAATGAATAAGTGAGTGTATATAATTTATATATTATACGTGGATCAAAAGATATAAGGATGAATGTATAAAAGAATGAATAAATTAGTTTATAAATCAATGTTTAAAAAAACAAATAAATTTGTAAATGAATATATGAATGCAGGGTGGCCAAAATGTACGGATTGTACGGATTGATTTTTTTTAAACCTAAAATTGTACGGATTGTACGGATTTGTTTTCAAATTGTACGGATTGTACGGATTTTTATCCTGGAAAATACACCGTTTTTTTAAATTTTTTACTCATTTCAGCAAATTTTTCATGAAAATAAAAAAAATTCTCGTCAAAATGAAGTTAGTTTAACTTATTTTCTGCATTCTAAATAATATTAGATTGATTAATGTTTCAATTGACAATCAAAATTCATTCATAATTTTCGAGATATGTCCAAGAAGTGTTTATTTGAGAATATGTTCCATAAGTACTTATTTGATTGCTTATTCAAGAAGATGTTCCAGTATCCTGTACCCAGTATCCT